AATTTTTCAACAATTTTCAAGCAATCTCCCAAAATTTTAACATCAAGTAAGGAAATATGGTCCTCCACACATCAAGACAATGATCATGCAAATTAAAACAACTCTAGAATCCTTTTTAAGTGAACCGGCATCAAATATGTTGCTATCTAAGCCAACTAAAGAAATGATCACAAACTTTTTTATTTGCTTTTGCAAACTTGCTTTTTCTTCTTCTTCTTTACACAAGTTATTAATTTAGAGTTTGGCCCTCCACCTTTCGGCACGAGCAATTCAGTGCTTTATGAGGCTAGAATCCCGGCTACTCAATAAAAAAGGTTTGTTATCCACATTTATCAAGAATGAAACATTTCAATGCACTACCAGCTCAATTGGGATATAACCAAATCAATAATCAACAAAATATGTACCTCACAAATGAATGCTAGTGTGCGCTTGTGCTAGTGTAGAATCCTAGAGTGAATCTCAAAATAATCACAAAATAAAAATGATATGGACCACAAGTGCAATGCAATCATGATATCAATCTTTCAAAAAAATTACTCCTAAATGGCATCCACAAAACATACAAGGAGTATTGCACTCTCAAGTCAAGCAATTTTTAAATTTTAAGTATCATGGTCCTCAAAAGATCAAAATCATAGCTAACAGGGATCTCCAATCTCAATCATACATTTAAAACTCAACTTTAAGTAGAATGCGACAAAGACACCTTACTCCCAAACTTAAACTGCACATTGTCTTCAATGTGCAATGAGAACAATGGAAAAGATGGAAAGAGTATACCGTGGTGACGAAAGCATGTAGCCTGGTAATGATCTAATATGAAAAGGGTCTCCCCCAAACTTGGAATCAATAACCTATTTGAATAACCACACTAGCAAACTCACATCAAATATCAAATGGGATAAGAATAATCAAATCATGCATTCTAAGGCAATATAACACAAGATGAAAGAGAGATATGAGATCAAGCCTAATAGAAAATATTAAGGTAGCCAGGGGCGGAGCCAGAATTTTATTTCGGGGGGGGGGGGGGGGGGGGCATAGTGTATTTGACGAGAAAAAAAAAAAAAACCTTAACTAACATGACAAATATAATTTTTTCATATGAAAAGGTAAAAAAAAACAAACTTAACAAAAACACAAAATTCTCAAGTAATAGCATAATATTCGTGATCTAATTTAATACCAATACTGATTTAAAGTAGAACAAAGAATTACCTATGTATGTTGAGATACCGGATGAATTTTCAGCCATAAGAATTACCTATGTATGTTGAGATGCCGGTAGAATTTTCAGCCATACCAAATCAATCATACTCCATCTTTAAGCACTTCGTGAATTCTGACAACCAAAGCAAACAAGATTTTATTTAATTATTTATATCTTAAATTAACAAGGAAACAAAATGTTTTTCAATAATGTGAATAAAAATTTAAATAAAAGAATTCATTCTTCAATTGAAAAGAATAAAGTTACAACTCAATAATACTTGACAAATATAAAAACCAAAATATAAAAATTTACTTGAATCAAAATATAGATTTTGATAACATTTTCATTGAATATTTGAATACATTACAACTGTCCTCAAATCAAACATTCAAATCAATCAAACCAATATACAAACACATTCATAATTTGTATATATGAGTTTTTTTTTTTTAACTAATTGAGAAGTCTGATTACTAACCATTTAAATGGCGAATTTAAAGCTCCTATGTTACTATGTAGCATTATGGGCTCCAAAATTGATGCAGAAAATCTGCTATTTTTGTTTGTTGGTGGAGAGAGATGAATTTCTGAGCAAATGAGGAATCAACCAAATTATTCAATTTATGGAACTTTGAAACGAAGGAACAGAAGAATCAGAAAGAAGATAGAAACAATTTGATTAAAGTTTTAGGAGGTTCTAATTTGTTAACCGAAGACCTCTCTTTTCCATATTTATATATAAATAAATTAAAAGGAAAAATCTAGATCTTGTCATAGAAAGAACCAGGAATGGAAGGAAATTACAGGACTGACTTTTTTTTTTTTCACCAAATTATGTCCAACAATGTCTCATTTAATTAAAAATAAAATCAAATAAATATAACTATATAAGGGAGTCATAGAAAGAACCAGGAATGGCAGGAAATGACACGACTGACTTTTTCTTTTTTACTAAATTACAACCAACAATGTCTTATTTAATTAAAAAATAAAATCAAATAAATATAAGGGCATTGCAAATAGATGTAAAACATATTATTCATGTGAAATTGTGAATCCAAAAAAAATTAGAGTTTCCAAATTGTCTAAAAAAAAAATTATGTTTTACCTAGGAAATCAATGAGAGACTGATAGAAAAATAGGACTAATTCCCTTTTGATATCTCCTTTCGATTCTGTTGCAGACAATAGCATTTAGAAAAATCAGAATCAAAATTGGGTCGCCTTTTCTGGGTACCGTGTAAAGTAGAATTTCTTTCCCCAAAACAAAAAGAACGTGATGGCAATCCTTTAGCCTTCAAAATGATAGGCGAATGACTGAATCACCCCTCAACATGTGAACAAAAAAAAAAATTTGAGGGGGGGCATATTTGAAATTTTGAAAAAATTTACATATAATAATATTAAAAAAAAAAATTTCAGGAGGGGCATGCGCCCCCTGGGCACAATGTCCCTCCGCCCCTGTCAACAGGTGAGTTGCTGGAATTACCAACGTGAGGCAATCACTTTCTGTTTCTGTTTCTGTGTCGTATTACGTAAAAAGCTGCAGCGCCAGAGTAAAAATGGCAGTATATGATGCAATTGGGATCCTCGGAAGGACTGCATGATGAGATGAAACTAAATTGTCCACCAAAACACAATGGCTTTGGAGGTTGTGGGAGCCAACAGGGATTGAAAAGATAGAGTAGTGTTCGTTTCATTCGAATTACGAAGAGATCGAATTGGAACAATGTAACTCCAGTGATGGTTTTATCACCCATCGCCAACTTTAATTAATTGTTGTGGTGTAACAAAATCTCGTGTTGAAACAGTAGTAGCCATACCAGAAGGAAACAGCCACCCTGAGCATACTTTTGAAAACGTACATGATCCTTTTGAAAGTAAATAGTAGTAGTAATGGAGGAACTACATGGATTCCGCATCAGATGAATTCAGACATGTCCGTGAGATGTTCCAAGATCAAGTCCAGCAATTCTTCTGGGAGGTCGGACCAAGATGAATATTGTACTTTTCTAGCAATTATTGCCACCGTTAGGTCATTGAGCAATTCTTTTGGAAAGTCACTGGAAGATTGTTCAGCCATTGAATACTAGAATCAGAAGAAGAAGAGACATTCAACAAAAGGTGCCTGTACCAGAAACCGACACAGGTGGGTAGGTAGAGAATACTTAGGGGCGCGAGACAACTCTATCTATGGAACTCGGCAAAACAGCCATGTAACTACTGTTGGGGTTTTTCTTGGTTATTTGATGATGCAAAGATTTGAAATCAATAATTAAGAATTTTCATCATATCTCCTCTCTCTCTCTGTATATTTATACAATTATATATTTGATGTGTTTGATCGTCTGACAGGTAAGAATTATGAAACCTATAATTTTCTTACTTAATATTAATATAATTATATATTTGTTTCATGCATCCAAGCTTGTTTGAACTTGTATATGAATGCTACGCTCTGTTTTTGGTTAGTGATTGATGAGTAAAAGGACCCTCAATTGCAATGGAAACCCAAACAATCCATCTCAAGCTCATTGCCGTCCTAACAATCCATCTCAGGGTTTATCGCCGGTGAGTGTTGGGGCTCCTCGTGGTCGTGGAGTGCTGAGATTTAACAGTTGAAGACAACAAAAGACCCAAGGACCAACTTAAATCCCGTGAGTTGAGAGAACATATGAAATTTTCGTGTTTAAATAATGTTTAAAAAAGTTGACGAGTCTTGTTCACGTCACATTCTGTAAAATTGGGGGATAATTGTTTGGTCCCCATCATTATTCATTTTTTAATTTCTCACTGCAACGCCATTTGCGCTCTCCTTTATCTAACAGCTAAACCCCCATAATTGGGCCTGCTACCCAGTTGGGTTTGTTTGTCCCAAGCAATTGTCATTTGGACATAACAGAACCTTCAATTTCCTTAGCCCACTTGCCTTCTCAGGTCCACCGAATGAAATGACCCATACCATTTAGGCCCACCGAATTAAGTAGGGCCTAACACCAGATTCTTTGCCTGGACTTATTTAATTAATTTTTTCTTTTTTTAAAAAAATATATTCATATTTTACATGGGTAGGAAACGCCATCACATACTTACTTATTCTCATAAAATTTATTTATTTATTTATTTATTTTTTAAATTTAACTCTGGACCTTTTACTTTAAAAAATCATAAAATATCATTAAATTGTGACAATAATTAAAATATTAAAGATATAATATTATACTAATTAAATATTGACATTTACCACATAATAATAAATAATGTCATCCAAAAATAAATACAAAACATAGGAATTTGAGCCTTGTATATATCAAATCCTAATCTCAAATCGCACTTGCCTAAAAATGTAAGTGGGTCAAATCTTTTTCTTTTATCAAATCTCTTCTTCTTTTTTTTTTCTGTGCAAAACACAATAATTTAAGTGAAAAAATACATAAAATAATAGTATGTATTACCTCATTCAATTTTAAATAGTCCAATTAATTTGAGGTAAATATTTTTAAATATACTCACATTACAAATTCACCTTAAATTATTAATAACAACGATGTATAGTTTTGGTGCTTATAATATTTTAAAATTATATTCAATTTACTCTTTCTTACAAAATAATAATAATAATTATTGTTATTATAAAAACTTGGAAAATAAAGGCTGCTTCACGCACCTTGGGCAAATGGGAATATTTTAGCATATACGGTGACGAAAGTTTGTCCATCAGTACCTACCGAAATAAAAATAAATAAAATAAAATAAAAAAATTCACCAATGAGCTGTTTTATTTTCATTTTCTCGTTTCCCAAACAAAGGGAAAGAGAGGGAGTGAAAAATTACATGTATGTACTCTTCTTCCCCCTCTGGGACAAGCGAACTTGAACTGAAAGCCACGTCGATCTGTTATCAGTTCTGTCATTTTCTGCCCCAATTTCCCTGAGAAAGTCCGCCATAGATTTTTCAGCTCCTGCTTCAATCATGCTTCCCACCCGTCATGATCGGTCAGTCTCCACTCTTTCTTCTTTCATTTAATATATATTACTCTATGTATGCGCGCACAGACGCATACACATATTCATTTCAGGGTACATATTCACATATACTACATAATACATACTTGTATGTTGCCACGCACATATGTAAATATATTCATATATAGACAGATATACACAAATATACACAAATATACATATAGATTTGTTTTTCCTGCTGTAGCCGTACTAAAATTTCCCTTTGTTTCTCTTATGGTGTTGGAATACAGCTAACGACTTCGAATTTGAGATTCGGTTCAGTTACTTCAATTGTTCTTATATCCGTGTAAAATTGATTTGTTCCGCCAGGTGTTTGATTTAAGGTCAATGAGAGTTCATTAAGTATGCTATAGAATCTATTGCTGCATATTGCACATTTTATTTTTTTACAAAGGACAAGGAATATGGACTTTGCATGTAGTTTCCGGCAGCCTAATGTGCTTAATGGCGGAGAAGGAACGAGTTATAGGACCTCAGATTGTTTCAATTCGCGCATGAAGTTCAGATGTAGAAGTTTTAGTTATAAGTTTCTTGGCAACTCTAGGCTTGTCCCAAAAGCCTATGGGCCAAAAAAGTTGAAGAAAATCACTGTATGTAGTGGTAGTTCTAATTCCAGTATGCTTATTAAACGCGAACCTAATTGTCATTTGTGGGGTTATAATTCACGGAGGTCCTTGATTTGTAATTTTGATCACGTTTCAAGGTCATCGAGGGCCCTAGTTTGGTCAAAGTGTCAAGGAAATGATTCAGTTGCCTTTATTGATGGAAATGGTCGAAATGTAGAATTTGCAGAAAGTAGTACAGAAGATAACTCAAGACACGGGGCTATTGTTGAGCCAAAGGATTTGAGAGAAGAAGTTGGAGAAGAAGTGGAGGTTCCTAGTTTGGATGAATTAAGGGAATTGTTACAGAAGACACTCAAGGAATTGGAGGTTGCGCAGCTTAACAGTACCATGTTTGAGGAAAAGGCTCAGAGAATATCAGAAGCCGCGATAGCATTAAAGGATGAAGCAGCAAATGCTTGGAATGATGTTAATTCCACCCTTGATACCATTCAAAAGCTTGTTGATGAGGAATCTGTTGCTAAAGAAACTGTTCAGAAAGCGACAATGGCCCTTTCTTTGGCCGAGGCAAGGCTTCAGGTGGTGGCGGAATCATTGGAAGCTGCAAAAGAAAGGGACGTTTCTGTAGAAGCTTCTGGAGAGAATGCTTTAGAATATGAAACTGGAGGAGAAGAATCAAAATTGTTGAAGGAAAAGGAGGAAGCTCTCTTGGTTGCTGAGGATGATATTAGACAGTGTCAGTCAACTTTGGCAAATTGTGAGGCGGAGCTTAGACTGTTGCAGAGCAAAAAAGAGGAGCTTCAGAAAGAAGTGGACAGGTTAAATGAGGTTGCAGAGAAAGCTCAGATGAATGCTTTGAAAGCAGAGGAAGATGTGGCAACGATAATGCTTTTAGCAGAGAAAGCTGTTGCTTTTGAACTTGAGGCTACACAACATGTTAATGATGCGGAGATTGCATTACAGAGAGCAGAGAAAAATCTCTCCAACTCTCGTATTGATAGCCTGGAAACTGCAGTACACCAAAATGGATCATCGTCCCAGGGACAGGTGCTGAGTGAGGAGGCATCTGTTGAGGAGGAGAAGGTGATTCTGGAAAATTCAGTTGATTTTAGTATTGAGAGAGACAGCGATGTGCCAACTGAGGTTGATTATTCAATAGGTGAGCCCTTAGCAGATGGCAAGGTGGATATGCCCAGCCAAAAGTTTGAAGATTCGAATTTGTCTGATGGAAGTGTTCAAGGGAACGGAAAAATAAGTGTAGACACATTAAAAGAGAGTGAAGTAGATACAGAAAAGTCAAAGAACGTGGTTCAAACAAAAAAACAGGAAATGCAGAAGGATTGGACGAGGGACAGTTCACCATTAAATGCACCAAAAGCATTATTGAAGAAATCATCTCGTTTTTTTTCTGCATCGTTCTTCTCTTTCGCTGTAGATGGAACCGAGTTCACACCGGCATCAGTTTTTCATGGCATCATTGAGTCTGCAAAGAAGCAGTTGCCTAAGTTGGTTGTTGGGTCATTGCTTCTTGTCGCAGGGTATGTTGTACTGTTAGATTTGTAATTTTTGGATTGTCGCTTTTTGTTTCAATTACTTTTCTTGTTTGCATCTGTATTGATTAGGTTATTGATGCCTGTTATTAGATTGTTATTGTTACTTTCTTTTCCCTAAATGTATCTCTTTTATTAGATTGTTATGTCTCCTGTTAAGGTTTGACTTCCTATGATCTTAAGGTGCTAAAATATGTCACAGGGTCACATTTTATGCTAATCGGACAGAACGGACTATTCAATTGTTTCAACAGCCCGACATCATTACCACTAGTATTGATGAAGTTTCCTCAAACACAAAGCCTCTGGTCCAGAAAATACGGAAGTTGCCCAAGAGAATTAAGAAATTAATTGAGATGCTTCCTCATCAAGAGGCATGTTCTCAAATTGCCTTTTATTAGCTCTGATTCTGGGCTAAAACCCATAATTCCAGATTTTCATTTATCTATTTGTTTTGTTCTTCCTGATTGTATGCTCCATTTTCCTTCAGATGAATGAAGAGGAAGCTTCCCTTTTTGACGTGTTGTGGTTACTGCTCGCAAGCGTTATATTTGTGCCCATATTCCAGAAAATTCCTGGAGGTAACTGCACTTCTGTTTCTACCTTTTGAAATTGAAGCCTTCATCTTCTTACACTTCATTATTTATCAGTGTCACAAGATTGCAACATATAACATGCTCTGGCTTTAAATTTGTTCAGAAACAAGTATTTTTAATAGCTTTATTATAAAATATGTTTAGGCCATTTTGTTGCTCATGTCACTTAAACTAATTTGTAAATTATTTGTGCTATTCCTTTTGTGACTGTTTCGTTTTTGTTACTTTTTCTTTTTATGATTGTTATGACAAGCACGGTGCTATTCGTGCAATTAACCATGGTCTGCATATACTGTACTGGGCCTTCGCATCTTTTCTGATGTATGTTGTTGAAGTTTTCTTGCCTTCTATCTTCTGCTATGTTTAGGAAGTCCTGTCCTTGGATATTTGGCTGCTGGAATCTTGATTGGACCCTATGGTCTCTCTATAATTCGTCATGTACATGGGACAAAGGCCATAGCTGAATTTGGAGTTGTTTTCTTGCTATTTAATATCGGCCTTGAGGTAGATCCATAAAATCTTGAATTTAGCATCCGTTAAGAATTACTATTTTTCCTTATTATTCATCCTGCTTATAACAAAGATTGTTGAAACTGAACTCTGGTTATCAATTTGCAGCTCTCTGTTGAAAGACTAAGCTCCATGAAGAAATATGTTTTTGGATTGGGGTCTGCTCAGGTGCTTTTACAAAAAAATTTCCTGTCATAATTAACTATTTCCGCCCCAAGGCAACCTTTTTATTTGCAAGTGATATATTGGCTCCCTATTTGAGATCTCTAACGTGCCTAATTTATACAGGTCTTGGTAACAGCTGTGGTGGTTGGCTTGGCTGCTCATTTTGTTTCTAAGCTGCCTGGTCCTGCTGCACTTGTGATTGGGAATGGCCTGGCATTATCATCTACTGCTGTTGTCCTACAGGTAAGAAGTGGGCAGTCTTTGCTTTCAATAAAATGTATATGCAACTTTTATTCTCCCCTACACCCCCTCCCCCCCCCCCCCCCCCCCCCAAACGAATTTTTTGCACCCAAGAGGATTCGAACTTTAGACCTGATGCTTCCATATGCAACTTCTTAAGCGTATTTATCATCTGTCCTATTTTCTCTTTCTTCTTTATCAGGCCAGTCTCAGTGACTGAAAATTGAGTGTCAATATGGACATTTTGTACCTACTTGTTAGAACTGGATTAAATATGCATTGGCATTGATGTAATGCAACTGAAATTTTCCTAAAAGGAATTCTCATGTAATGTAACTGAATACTCAGTAATATTCTTAATAATCTTTGTTAGAAGAAGCATATGATATTCTACTTGAGCCCCATGAAGTCAAGTGCGTGCTAATTCCTTCTGAGGCCTATGAAGTTTCAACTTCCTCAAACTATTCCATTTTTGCTTTTAATTCTCAAGCCACTTTATTTTCTTTAGGGTTCCACTGTCAGGATTACAGAAACTTGTTAGTTGATAAGCTTTTCAATGGGCAGATGAACTAATTTTTGTGGATTTTCTTCCAGGTTTTGCAGGAACGAGGTGAGAGCACGTCACGCCATGGACGTGCAACATTTTCTGTCTTACTTTTCCAGGTATCGATATGGTATCTAATGTAATGTCTGTTTTTGATGTCATGAGTAGAATTTTACGGCTAACACAGTGATATTGGCATTCAACTTAATTCTTGTTATATACTGATAGTTGTATTGTTGTTTTGTAAGTGAACTTAACATTCTAGTTGTCATGCTGTACTGTGTCATTCATACTTCTGTAACTTCAAAAGACAATCAGCGATGGGGCTAACAACCCCTACTGCTGCATAATGTGTAGTTAGCCTTGCTACATTTTTTTTCTTTTCCTGCTATTACATATAACAACACAACATATACATGTACTAAACTGTTGTTATTGAAAATGTGATTGGCCAGTTATTTATTGGTTGTATAGCTCCATGTTTGCCCCTTTATGATGAATTATTCAATTATGTTCCTTGACGTTATGGTTACTTACAAAAAAAAATGTTCCTTGACATTATCATGGGCTTCTGTGTTCACTTTATTTTATTTGATATGTTTGTGTTTCATTGTGAATCTTAATTTTATCTGATTATTTCTATCGCTTACCTTCTTTTGATCTTTTCTTGCAGGATCTAGCTGTTGTGGTTTTGCTTATACTTATACCTCTTATTTCACCCAATTCATCTAAAGGAGGGGTACAATTTTCATAATTCATCTAATGTTGGAATGTATCAGCAATTTTGCACCTTTTCTCACGGTTTCTTTTTCAGTAGTTTCATTTAGTCTGTCATCTTATGGATCAGCACCTCACTCTCACATGCACCCTTTCTTTCTATGCTCAGAGTGTTTATCACATGATGCAAATTAAAGTTTTTTTCCCACATTGGAAAGGATAATTGGACACTATTCAACGATTAGCTTTGAACTCGCTTATGGTAGTTGTAATGTAGCTGCTTTTTCTATAGATAATGTAGTTATAATGGGTAATAATTTCTGCTCATTTAGATTGGTTTCCAAGCAATCGCTGAAGCTCTTGGATTGGCAGCTGTGAAGGCAGTTGTTGCCATCACTGCTATAATTGCTGGAGGACGCTTGGTGAGTGTTTTTTTTATTTCTAGTAATGTAGAATTATGACATTTTAAGTGATCGAGCCACTTTTTTTGTTTTTTGTTTTTACTATTCAATCAAACTACATTTGATGCTCCTGACTGTGCAATTTTTATATTTTAAAATTCTCCATCACTATCCCTCCTATCAGAATTTATGGCAGTGCTTGAAATTACGCACTTTTAAAATGTACTCAAGGAGACAGTTTATAATTTTTGCTTTACGTTGTTATACTGTTGTATGTCTAATTCTCTTTTTGGAGTCCTTGTAGCTTTTGACAAAATATTTGTCAAGTAATCTTAAAATTCTTTTTAGCATTTGTAAAGTTCATCATTTAGTGACTTCTCGTGCTCATTTTCAGCTGCTTCGGCCAATTTACAAGCAAATAGCAGAGAATCAAAATGCAGAGATATTCTCTGCAAACACTCTCCTTGTTATTTTGGGGACTAGCCTCCTTACTGCCAGGGTATGTGGGCATGTGTTATTGATTGTCATTCCTGCATATTCTTATAGCAATAAATATTTACCTTTTTCATGATGAATGGAACAGGCTGGCCTTTCAATGGCATTGGGAGCGTTTTTGGCTGGTTTACTCCTTGCGGAAACTGAATTCTCCTTACAGGTTGAATCAGATATCGCTCCATATCGTGGCCTTTTATTGGGTCTCTTCTTTATGACGGTAGGAACTTACCTTGGCATATCTGTAAAATCCATTTCATCATCATCCTGGCCTTAATCCCATACGAAGGGGTTGGCCATTTGTAATATCCATTTATTATATCTATACGCTCCGTAAACCTTGTTTCTAGTTCTGAAGTTACTGATTCAATGGAAATAATCCTTTAAGAATCCAGTGGATTGAAAATCCTGTCTTTGTGTGGTCTCCAAACTTTTTATGCCATGGTTCTATGTAATTACATTTTTCATCAATTTTTCGCAGTTCCACTAAATAATGATTTTTTTGATACTAGTCCATACTGCAATAATAATAAGCATGACAATTGTTGGACAAGAATGTTTTAGTGTTTTTATATCAGCAGATTGATTTTGCTGCTGCATGACCAGCAAGGATAGTTGCTCTGATAATTCCAATTAATGTGAAATTCTTGGGTTTTCACTTTTCAGGTTGGAATGTCCATTGACCCAAAACTTCTTGTATCAAACTTTCCAGCTATTATGGGGACATTAGGACTTCTAATTGGTGGCAAGACTCTGTTGGTTGCAGTGATTGGTAGACTTTTTGGTATATCAATCATATCTGCTATAAGAGTTGGCCTGCTTCTTGCTCCAGGGGGAGAATTTGCATTTGTTGCTTTTGGTGAAGCTGTTAATCAGGTTTCCTTTCCACAAACTAATTATTTTGCTTGCAAGTTTTACTGCTTAGCTGCCAATAGTTTATACAGCCTTACCAAAACATTTTATTATCCTGTTTTACTAATCAAATATATAAATAGATTGTTTATCCTGGGTGTTAGTTTTAAAAATGTTGCTTTATGCTTTATACAAAACCTTCATTTTTTTCGGATGTGTAAGCCACATAAAGGATGCGATGGAGAACGACTTATGGTTCGCATGCATGAGCCAAGAACTCATGCTTATTTACAGAATTCTTGAGAATGAAATGGAATTCCGGCAGTATTTTCTGGTTGCCTCAATACGGGTTCCACTCTCATGTTGGAATTTGGAACCACAGAAGGTCCATGAGACGTAACTTTTAGACTTTTTCTCTAAGTCTTACGAGCAAAAAAGGCTTTCTATTGACGCAAGAAAACTCCTTCCCTTCTGTATCACACTTCATCCGACTAGCACCTTTGAAAGGCCCTTGGATTGAGGCCGGTGGTGCGGCAGAAGCAACCTGTGCGGGTCAAAGAGCAAATCCAGAGACATCAATCCAGCAGCAAAGGGCAAGCGGGGGATTCGAGATTCTTGGCATAGCGCCAGGCGGGGGTTAGAGATATATTAGTATTTTACTATTTTAGAATTTCTTAGGGTTTATTTATGTTTTGACTATATAAAGAAGCCTATGTGTGAGTAGCGCGATGCGGAAGCTGTTAGTTAATGTAGTTGTGAATTACTACTCTAAATGAACTAGAGGGGAATGAATTGGTCAACTTGCCCAATTTTTGTGATTGATTAAATTACCCACAATTATGATCAATTAAACATCCACAACCACAAAAATATAAATTGTAAAGTAAAGCAAGCAGAGTAGAGTTTGAGAGATGACACCGGGTTTTTGAGCTTGGAAACCCTACACCCTTTCGCTTTACCAAAAACCAATCTTTGACAGTCTTCGGCTTTGCAACTCCCCCGTTCAACAGCACTTGACTTCAGATTTACTCTTGATCTCTGTAGAAGGATCGTGTTAGCAGATATGATAGCCACGATTTATGGAATGACTTATCATATTAGCAGACATTTGATTATGCTATAGAATATGCCATAGAATATGCTTTGATTTGATTTAATTTCCTTTCTTGTAATATGAGCATGTGCTCTTTTATCTATAAATATTAGAGTCGTGAATGAGTGATTATCTCATTCAAGCCTTTACACAATTATCTCATTTCTCTTCTTTTTATATTTCTAGTTGGTATCAGAGCTTGGGTGGTCCGACTACAATGAGGGTATTGCAAGTTCAGCACCACTTATTCGGGAATGATCCAAGGCGACATCGTGTGATACCCCCTAATTTCAGAGACATTGGTTGATCAAGTCCACACTCGAAACCAAGGGATATCAAAACAATTAATATTTAACAAGCACAAATTGCAAAATGAAATAAAAAGAATAAAATAATACGCTGAAAGAAATTCTATTAAATAATAAATCAATTACTAATAATCCTCCAATATTACAACTCGATTCCTGCAATTCAAGGACCCATAAAAATCGTAATCCAATCATCTATAAATAAAATAAATTTCAACATCTAATAATGGATAAATATCCTACTTTGAAATAAATAGAAATAATAGATAAGTCTCCTAGCTATAGATCTTGAGACTTGAACCTCTAATAACCTGAAAGATATAAAAATAAAATGGGTTAAACCCACGAGCAAGTTCCTTCTACTAAAGCTCTTAAAACCAATAAATAAAACATTTCTAACCAAAATCATCCTAATAAAGATTTAGACCTTTATTCTAAGATGATAAGTAATACCATATGGCATTAACAATAAATAAATAATATTTCTAGGATCCCACTCCATGGATGATGGTGTTTATATATATTTATATAACCATAACCAACACTAGAATAAACATTCTCTTCTAAGAGTAACTCCCTCAACCCAAAACTAAATAAATTGGCTCACCAGCCATTAATCAATGCACTAATCAAATCTAAGAGTATTATGTCCTCCAATTCACAAATACAACATCTATAGATGTATACTTGTTTATACAATTCACATAGCAATTTATTTAAGCGTTGGCAACTCCTCCATGAGTATGTTTTTGTCCATACTATGTAAGTGGCAACCTATTTATGCTTTGGCAACTCATCCATACCTCCACAAGTATGTTTTTGTCCATACTATAAAATAACAAATCCTCCATGCTATTAATGTATGTATTTGATTTATACAATTAAATGGTAATCTATTTATTCCATTGCAACTCATCCATGCCTCCGAATAAACCACCTTCAACATTTTAATCAACTACACAACAACTATACAATAGGCAACACATGCTTTATATAGCATGATAAAACTTTACTCTCACAGTATACATGAAAAAGTAACAATTCATCATTACCATGTTTATAACCATGGTACATTATGAAAATACCATCATAGATCAGATTTACAAATCATAAATATACTAGCAAATATGATTACAATCATAAAGTGGATTATGCATTGAATTACACAATTAGTATCTTAATAGATTAATTTAAAACTTAATAATTAATATTCAGCATTCCCATTAATTATCATAACATAGGAGTTACACATTTATATATTTTCCCATGACACTATTCCCAACACTTACAAACATGTTCGGGATCATTAATACCCAAACCAGGGTCATTCAGAACACTGTTGAAGTAAACAGGTTCCCAGAGCTCGAGCATAATCCCCCTGACATGCTTTGGTTGCTGACTGCTATCGCCTTGCTAGTGGTAGGTTGTCTTGGGATGTTCAGTTCCGGCGATCCTTTCAGGATTGAGAGTTGGATGACGTCACTGGTTTGCTGGATCTTCTGTATAGACAGGAGGTGGATGGCACTGGTTCGGACTCCTTAACTTGGGTGCTTTTTCCATAGGGAATGTTTCAAGTTCAGTTCTTTTTTTACTAGCTTTCAGGGTTTCGAGGTTCCACCTTCCCGTGGAAAACGGTTTGGCACTCGAAGGCTCCTCTTAGGGTGGCTTTCTTTGTGTGAACTGCTGTTTGGGGCAAGATCTTGACTCTGGACAACTTAAGGAAAAGAAGACAAGTCATCCTTAACCGGTGTTGTCTGTGTATGAATGATAAAGAGTCTGTGGATCATCTTCTCTTGCATTGTCCCGTGGCCCATGACTGCTGGAGCCTCATCTTAAGCCTTTTTGGTGTTCAGTGGGTTATGCCTCGGACTTCAAAGGATTTGATTGATGGTTGGAGGGGCCAAAGGGTGGGAGCGTGTGTTCGTGACTTCTGGAGGGTGACCACCTTTTGTATTTGGTGGAGTCTTTGGAAAGAACGCAATCAAAGATCTTTTGATGGGGAGGGGATCTCCATCGGGGCTTTGAAGTTCGCTATTCTTTGCTCTCTTTTTAGTTGGGGAATGGGGAGAGATTGTATTTCTTTGGATGAGATTATGGACTTTTTGGGGTCGTTGGGTCCATAGGTCTTCCTTTTTCTTTTTTTTTTCGATTTTTGTATAGCTCTTGGGACTCGTTCTTCTCCTGAACGCTTTCTTATACATATTTACTTATAAAAAAAAATACCAATAATGTCCTTTTAGAGTACCCAAACTACCCTTTACTCATTTTTTCTCTCATTTCTATATATATAATATATATAATGACCTTATTTAATTAATTTTATTTCTTAAATACTCTCTATATAATACACATATTTTCTATATATATTACTCATTATATTTATATTTTTCTCTCCTATTTATATTATATCCCTCATTTCTGTATATAATACTCATATTTATATATATATATATATATATATATATATATATATTTCTTTCTCTACGTTTTTTTTTTCATATTTGTATTAATTAATTTTCTTTCTATAAATAATCTATATATAATACACATATTATATATATATATATATATATATATATATATATATATATATATATAATACTCAATATATTCATATTTCTATTATTTCTCTCCTATTTATATTATATCCCTCATTTCTATATATAATACTCATATTTATGTATTTTATTTATTTTTTCTCTCTCTCTAATGCTTTTCTTTTCATATTTGTATTCTTTATTTATTTTCTTCACTCTCAATATAATATAATTTTTCTTTTCTTAGTTTTATTCTTTATTTATTTTCTCTCTCTCTAAAGATTCTTTCTCTCTGTTACAACTTGCATCTCCACAAGCGGTGTCCGCTGCCGAGCTCAGTTCCATCACCCTGTAACTTCTTATTTTTGTTCTGACCCACGAAACCCTCCTCTGGAATTCCTCAATCACAACGGCCAAACAGTCTTCCTTGATGAAAACTCATACTTGGTCGGCAAAATTGAAGAGAAACATCCGAAAATCGAAACCTACGACGTTCAATTCACCACCAAAGTGAGCGATTTATACGACCTTCTTCACCACGTGAGAGAGCAAATTCGGAAGGAGTGTAGACCTGTGCAGAGCCTACTCTTCTCGGACTGCAAATTGGGGATTATATTCTGCTTCCCAATCATGTGTACGAAGTGGGTTGGGATGTGATTTTAGTGGGCGAGCAAAGTGGGAAATTTCCGGCGGCGCCGGGGTGGATGGCCTTGATATTCACCGTTAGCATGCTAGCGAGAAGCAAGGGAGGAAGCGGCAGAGGAAACACCCATGTGTTTGTGCAAGATGTGAATAGGGAGGTGGAGGGATTGCTTCATCTCTGTGTGTGTTGGTTGTGATCTGTGTGCGTTGGTTAGTTGTGATCTGAGGCTATGGAGTTTGTGTTTGGGAAGAAGAAGTATAATGACTGGTCATAGCCCTATTTGTGCTTAATTACCCAAAATCCCCCGTTTACAATTTTGTATACTATTTTTGTTTCATTACCCAAAATGATGCCGTTTAGAATTCTCTATTTGGGTAATTTCAACTTCTAGCAATTTTTTGTTATTATTTTATAAAGAATATTGGTGGGTATTTTCGTATATTTACCTATCCCTTTGACAAGAAGTCCTTAGTGGCACAATTTTGAAACTACAAGGGTGGCTTTTGAACACCAGGGATGTTATTTGCACAATTTTAAAACTACAGGGGTGTTTTCTGCACTGCATCCATATATATACATATAAACCTTTACAACCATGGGCCCTAATTATTTAACCTATCAAGGCTTCATCCAAGCCCAAGACCACATCCATTGGTCCAACTTCCCTAAACCCAATCCCTTAAACATTTAAATAAATAGAACAATTAATTAAATCTATTAATTAAAAATAATTCACAATTAAATAACACAAGCATAAATACGCACATAGTCAAATAAACAATCCCAGTCATGGCATTCCAATAAAGCAAAACATTATACCAAATCATCAAGTATAATCACGAAATATAATTTAAATAAAACAAGACAATTAAATAAAACACCCAATTTAAATCAAATAAATCACCTCCATCAAATTAAAAGTAATTAAATTAATTAAATAACTCCTTTAAAATATAGGGGTATTACACATCGCCCATCCGGGAGGTGTCGGGTAGGCAAGGTGGTCCAACATCAATGAGGGAGTTGCGAGTTTGGCACCACCCATTCAGAAATGGTCTGAGGAGACATAGTTGTTTCTTTTTTATGGTCTGAGGAGACATTGTTAATTATTTCATCTACATTGTTTAAACATATGTATGAAGGGGAATGGTCTGAGGAAACATTGTTGATTCTTCCATTTACACGTTTTAAACAAGTGAAGGGGAATGGTCTGAGGAGACATTAGTGATTCTTTCACATGTTTTAAACATGTGAAGGGAAATGGTCTGAGGAGACATTGCTGGTTGTTTACGGTCTGAGGAGACATGATTGGTTGTTTATGGTCTGAGAAGACATTGTTAATTATTTATTATCTGAGGAGACATTTTTGATTTGTTAATCGGCACTTCATTAGAGAGAATCATTGCTATTCAGATTTGCACTCTGCAACTTGTAGTTTCTGAAGAAGGGTGCTAGCAAGACCGTGTTTGAAAATGCGTTGTTTAAGTTGGGCGTTTCAGGTATTGAGGAGGAGTGTTAGTAGATATAATAGCCACGATTTATGGAATGACTTACCATATTAGCAGAGATTTGATTATGTTATAGAATATGCCATAAAATATGCTTTGATTTGATTTAATTTCTTTTCTTCTAATATGAGCATGTGCTCTTTTTATCTATAAATACTAGAGTTGTGAATGAGTGATTATCTTATTCAAGCCTTTACACAATTCTCTCCTTCTTTTTTTTTCTTTTTTTTTTTATTATTATTTTTTTATATTTCTACTGATAGCTAGTAGATCAACCAACACTCCAAGAATGTCTTGATCCCTTCAAAGTGTGATCGAAACCTCCTCTTCCTTAAAATCTTAATTTTGTGAAGGTTTGTAGAAAATCTATTGTTCTGATCAACTTGTAATCTGACGTAGATTCTGAAGATTTTGAGTTGATCAATAGAAGAACATCACCCTATTCCCTCTCATGTTTAAGTGTGTGCTCTAAAAAATATACAATCAGATTTCTCTGAAAAATCTCTCAAAAAGCTTTAATGTTCATGTAAAAGATGAAAACTTTAATTTTCCAATTGAAGCCACCAATCTCTCTTCTAGGTTTTAGAAAGACATCATATGTATATTAGAGAGTCCTTATGACAGACAAAAATAGCTTTTAAAATCGCGCAAGGGCTGCCCTACAAGTTTGGGTACAAACAGGAAACTGAAAAGTTACCAAAATCTGATACATTCGGGCAATTGCAACTGGTTGGACTTCAGAAAGTAACCGGTTGAACTTTTCCCGAGAGCAGTTCTTTCACTGCAAGTGCAACCGGTTGGACTTTGCTAAAAAGTGATTCCAACCTCTGCTCTTCTACCTAACTTTAAAAATACTCACAAGTGTTCCTCACTCGCTTGCCTGTTCTAAATGATGTTCTCAACGGATTCAACACTAATAGGCACTTGCGCTTCAGCTCCAAAAGTCCGAGACTCAAGATAAACAAAATTACAACTCGGTCATCAAGTTTTGACCCCGAAATTTGCCAACATTAAAAATTTATATCTCACACTATGTAACTAAACAATTCACCTTTTGATGATTGAATTATTATTGTGAGTTTGTGAATTCTCTGTGTATCTCTTTCTCCCTCTTTGTTCTTGCTATTCTCACTCCCACATTCTTTCTCTAGCCTCTCTCTTTCAATCTATCTTCCCACCCCCTTCGTCGGTTTCTCACTGCCTTCCTCTAGCCTATCTCATCTTCTCATTCTCATCTCCTCTTTTCATTCTAGTTCTATACCAGTTTGGTATTAAAACAATATTTGTCCTACATCAGAATGTCTTTCTGAGATCATGAGTTGTTGCTTTTCATCGATAAATTTGCATATGTACTTGTGTGCGGTGGCTATAAGGTGTCCACAAAACAAAAGCCTCACCTTGAAGTTGTTGCTAAAGAATACATTCCTAAAGGTTGGAGTTGCAAGCTTAGGTCTCCTAAAAGTCAAGCCCCTAAAAATGAGCCACTGATATATATATATATATATATATATATGTATGCATGTATATCTTTGACAACTAAAATAAGCCACCGATATTTACTTCTAGGGGTGTTTTTTAAGTGTCTATAGGATATTGAGGGGGCTCCAAGGAAAGAGTGAAAGAAGGGAAGGGCTTTACACACCTTTACATATCAAAGGAAGGGTGTAATTGAAATATAAAAAAAGGGAGCTATATTGTTCCTCCTCCTAGGCCATTTTTGGGAGGAAAGAATTTTTTGGGCAGGAGGGGATGGTCTCCCCTCTTCTCTGTGTTTCCCTTCCTAATTTTCCCCACCAATCTGGTAAGAAACTATCCATCCTTTTCTTTCCTTCCTTCCACTCTTCTCCTCTACCAAGCAGTCCATTGAATTGCAAAGTAAACCTGCTCAGAACTTAGCCGGCTCAGCTCTGGTTTATGATGGTTAAGGATTGCCACCTCTGAATGAGATTTTGTCTTTCAATATTAGAATGAAGTAGCATAATAGTTGTCCAAGTTAACTATATAAAAATGCCACATCACTGTAATTTGATCATAAGCAGCCTTGCAATAAGGTTTTTGAATGATGCAATCTGTGTTCAGTTGAAGTTATGTAGGCCAGTGAGATTGCTTGAACTTTAGATACTTCTTATTTTTTCAAGGGGGGAAATTATAGGTGGAAGTAGCCCTGTTAATAGGAATGGAAGCAATCTGTAATTGGTGCTTTTTGCGTAAGAAGCCAATATCATTGTTCAGACTTGTGTTCTTGTTACTTTTTTATTTTCCTTCTTTTAGGTAACAAGACTATATATCGATTCCATTTTCCTTTTCCTTTTTCTTTTTTACTTTAATTTCTTGCCTAAATAAATAAATTGGGTAACGCAACACAAATTATAGTTACCATGAGCACAACTAACTCTTTGTTAATTGATGTTCTTTGCAGGGTATAATGTCACCTGAACTGTCATCTTTGCTGTTTCTGGTGGTGGGTATTTCAATGGCCCTCACACCATATTTAGCTGCTGGAGGCCAGTTGATAGCATCTCGTTTTGAGCAGCATGATGTCCGAAGCTTATTACCTGTGGAGAGTGAGGTGAAATGTTATTTGAGTGTTTACTGAGATTATTAGTAATATCTGGAGCAACCATTTTTACTGTTGGTTCACTGAATGTATTTTCTCTCTTCACTGTCGTATGATTTAAAATTGGTTTATTTGGTATGTGATTTCCAATCAGGATTCAGGACTATAATCATTTTATACTCAACTGAATGAACTTCTTTTCTTCTTCTCCTTTGCAGTAACTTCTTTTTTTTTTAACCTTCACACCCAACTTTTTGCCCCTATGGGACTTGAACCCTCAACCTTCTACTTTAGTTTCTTTGATGTAGTCCATTATATCTATATCATGAGAGAGCAGACAAGTAATGGAGAATAAACCTGTTAATTCATGCTTGCTTGATTGCATTGTGGTTGAATTTTTAATAATAATATCTCAAATGTCATTGAACCTTTTCCATTATAAAATTATTTTAGTTATTCAAATTTCAGTTTTAGGCTTTTAAAATACTGGCAGTGTTGTTGAAATTATTTAATAGGAGGTTGCCTGTTATAGCTGGTGGATTGGGTTTTTATTCCTTCTCAAAGTATTACCACTTCAAATTGATGCAAAAGAACCAGATGATGATAAAAGACAGTGAGTGGTAATAGCTGACATAAAGTATGTACGGAAAGATCAATTAATTTACATATAGTCGAATGATATGATGGGTAAGTAGATTGGAATGGGTTTACTTATAAAAATAAAAAAAATAAAAAGTAGATTGGAATGAGTATCTACATGTGCAGTAAGGTGGTGAATATCCATCTGCAATGAGAAGTTTCATGATCCATGTTCTCCATCCTGGAAAGTTTTGACATGCAAACACCTTTTTCTTTGTTGCATTATAATAACGCCAGATTATGCTGTAAAAGACCTTGAGTAATTATTCACTTATGATGCATTTCGATTTTTTGCTGTTATAGCCATGATCAATTGAACAGTGATTTACACACAACATAACCAACAATAAACTCGGTTAAAAAATTTATTTGTTTGTTTTATTTATATTGATAGTCTATTTGATCTTTGTTTACTGCTCGAGGTTTTATTGATTGACCACGAACCAAATTCTTTGTCCATATGATGAATTATTTATTTGATATAGGGCTGACATTGGGATCATACTGCTATGTTTACTGATTGCATTAAGTTGTGATGTTTTATTTTTTATTTTCCAGACAGATGATTTGCAGGATCATATTATAATTTGTGGCTTTGGACGTGTTGGCCAGGTGTTGTACAATTTTCAATTCTTGATACGTGAATTAGTTTGAGACCATTTATGTAGAGTTTCTGTTGTTGGTTAGGATGTGTATACAATGTACATGTGGATGTAGTGTAACAGTTGTATTTTTTTTTTTTTTCCTTTTCTTTTTCTTTGGGTTCTTTCAGATCATTGCCCAACTTCTTTCAGAAAGACTAATTCCATTTGTTGCTCTTGATGTGAGGACGTAAGATTTTCTTCTCTGTCTTTTCTACATCACACTGAACTGATATTCTTCTGACAAGGATTGGCATCATATTTTATATTGTACTTTTGTGGAATATCAGCTGAGTGTTTTCTTTTTGGTTATAATAAAATATTTTGAATCATCTATATTGAAATGTTTAACATGTGTCCTACTAAAAATGATTTTTGAGGAAGAAAAAGGTAATCCAAGTCCATTATTCCTTGCATCATAGGTAAGGCAAAGCATTACTTATCCCCCCCCCCAAAAAAAAAAAAGGAGGTAGTTTGTGTTTGATTAAGTTAAAGCATATTGATCATTTGTTAAGTTTATGTATATTGTTCATTTGTTCTTACGCTATGTTTGGGAGCACCGAATCGGCTTCATTTGTAATTGGAAGAAATTAAGTTAACACCGATTCAGTGCTCCCAAACACAACATTAATATACTTTTACATAATGGAAGTTCTTCTTTGGTTATAATGCAAGCTAAAAAGAGCCTGGAAAGTGGCTCCTTGAATACATATGAATGGGTGATAGATCATTATGGAATTACTCCCCCCATCCCACAAAGTGTCCACCTTTCTATTTTTGGCTGTCCTATTTCAAAATCTAATGTACTATTTTTTTAATAATACTATTTTAGCCTCCTTGCCTTTAAGATAAGCAATTAAAATTTGAAATAAGACCTCATGTGGACCCACCATAGAAGGGTATATTTGAAAATTCATTCCCTTCCACTATAATAAAAAAACATTAAAAACTACACTCTTAAAAAATTAGGTTCCCAAAAAGATACACTTTTTGTGGGACGGAGTGAGTATTTTTTTTTCTACAATTGTTCTTTTCTACTCTTGCTTGTTTTTATTGTAGTTTGTGGAAAAATTTGTCTTTTGCCTCGAAAAATATTTTGTATATGTCTGTAGATAGTATTTGAATATTGCAAAATGATTTTGAGCAAATCCTAGTAGTTGGATACTTGGTTTTGTTATGTGGAGTTGAATACTCATTGCTGTATATTTTAATTAAATATGAGAGGAAAGAAATCAATTTGTATATGCATTTTGTTCCTCCGAAACATGGTTGTTAAAGACATGCCTAGACCGAAAGAAGAAGGGGAAAACAAAAAGGCTCATTTAAGCTTAGTCAAAAAAAAAAATTTAATGCCCTATATCTTACTTCTTACAATTTTTTATGTGACAGACCATATTGTTTAGTCATGGAAGATATTTAATATTGTAGATTCTTTATTTCTTTTGGTAGGTTGATATTAAAAATCATGGGTTAATGATTGATGACTTGAATCAGATTTATCTAATGCTTGACTCTCGATAATTATGACAGTATTATAAATGCTTATTATCTATATGTTGTTACCTGACATTATCGCACTTCTGCATAGGTATTTGATCTAGTTGATGCATGTGCAAAATGAATATATCTACATTGATAGCTAACCCTCATAATTGATATGCTTCAAAATATAGTTTTCTTTGATTAGTTTGTGTTGCATGTTTTGAATTGCTTCAATTGTAAGTGCACTATATTTACATTTTTATCACACATGGCCTTGCTTTTGTCATGCTTGTGCTTTTTGCTGCTCCTTGCACGAAAGACATTGGCGTGCTACCCTGCACCTTAATAAATATGCTTCCAGGTGCACCGAAGAATGGAGTCATGGACTGATATTCTAGTTGATGTTAACTTTAATATCTATCAAGGGAACACCGGGAATTCTTGTTTTGGTTGCATGTTCTTCATAATTTAATATTAATAAGAAAACCTTTAGGCGTGTTATCCAGGAACTTGTTCAGAAATACCGTAATGAGAAGGTAAAAGTAATTTTTCTTGTTCCTTGATGTGCTGATGTGTAATTGTAAACATGCATTCTATTCATCTAACACGGATGAGTAAAAGCTTACTTCATACCAGCATGCAGTTTCTTTACTTCAGATTTTCCATGTTTTCAGTGATCGAGTGGCGGTTGGGCGTGCACTTGATCTTCCTGTTTTTTTTGGAGATGCTGGCAGTCGAGAGGTAAAGCAAATTGTGCCAGAATTTAAGTATTGTTGCTTCCGGTTCACTTTGTGACATGCTTCTCCCTATACTGGGTTATTAGGTCCTCCATAAAGTTGGTGCTGAGAGGGCATGCGCTGCAGCAATTACATTGGATACCCCCGGTGCAAATTATAGAACTGTTTGGGCTCTTAGCAAATATTTCCCCAATGTGAAGACATTTGTCCGTGCTCATGACGTTGATCATGGCCTCAACTTGGAAAAGGCTGGGGCAACTGCGGTATCATTCTATTTCGCTGTTTTTTTTTTTAAATAGGCAATCCTTAGCTTTCTTTTTTATCTGGCACTGATGTTATTTTTAAGCTCAAATATCAAGATTGCATTTCATGAGCTCGTAGTTCCTACATGAGTTTTCAAGCATGGCTTATGAATTTTGAATTATTGATCCAAAATCTGCATTCTTTTAAAAATTAAAAGCTTCCGTATCATACTTATAGTTTTTGTGGAAAACTTACAGGTAGTTCCAGAGACATTGGAACCAAGCCTACAGTTAGCAGCTGCTGTTCTTGCACAGGTAAGCAGAATGATTGACAGTGTATTGTATTGAGTTTATTACATGGTAGCTATAAGGAGATCTATATTACGTTTTTGTTCTTCCTGAATATCTAAACTGTGGTTTTTGTCTGGTAAATATCGGTGACTGTTGATGAAATAGCATATGGCCAGATGGTAAATAGATCATATATCAGAAACGAGATAATATTCATTGATTATGCTAGCTCTTTTTATGAATGCATCATTGTCCTCCTCTCTCTTAAAGATAATATTATAATTGCAAATAGTTGAAGTGATCAATCTTTTAGCATCATTGTCCTCTTCTCTCTTAAAGATAATACTATAAATGCAAATAATTGAAGTGATCGATCTTTTGGATTAATGAGTCTTACATCTGTGTAAGATTGATCTCTTTTTGCTACAATTTTGATAAACATCCTTTACATCCTCTGGATATTGTGATTTTTCATGGGTTTTACCATTGAAAAGAGAAAATGAAATAATAACTAAAGAACATGCATACCAGCAGCTTTTAGTCCAAGGGGTATCTCCCGTCACTCCAAAGGGGAAGGTTCAGTTTCAGTGTCAACTGGGACATGGATATATGTGCAGTAATATACTCATAGACACACACAAACATCACTTAAATGTGCATACCTTTTGGTTTTTGTTTAGTTGAACATCTCTCGTTTGCGAATACCTATGTTATATTTTTGCTGATTCTCTGTATAGTTCTTGGATCCGATCACATGGATTCACCAGCACAGTGGTACTGATTATTGTTAAAGCTCTTAGTTGATGCTTGCATGACCAACCTTTGATGTTGATTTAGAATAATGAATGATTAATTACTAGTTTTTGGCTGGTTTATTTCTTAATGTTCTTATTTTTCTTCTTTCTGCTATTAGGCCAAACTGCCGACATCAGAGATAGCAGCAACCATCAATGAATTTAGATCTCGCCACCTCTCTGAGCTCACTGAGGTACTCAATGTTGGTTACACTTCAAATTGGCTTACACAATTTTTATTTCATCTTAATGTTGTATCGTAGGATCTAATAGTAGTTATTTTCTCTGATAAATGCCTGGCTTCTAAAAGGATCCTGCAATCATCTATTAATTCTGCATGCAGTTATGTCAAGCCAGCGGAAGTTCTCTTGGTTATGGATTTTCACGGATCATGAGCAAAGCCAAATGTCAGCTGCCCTCGGATTCTTCAGATGATAACCAGATCACTGAAGGAACACTGGCAATATAACTCGATCGATCATCCAAGATAAACAAAGTTAATGGTATTGAACTTCCCCCCTCAAAAAAAAAAAAAAAGTTAATGGTATTGAAAAAGAACATTAATAATGAAGAGCTGTATAGAGTTTACGTGCCTATTTGGTATAAATTGTACAGAAATATAGCGGACGAATTGGCAGTAGCTAGCACACACTTCTTCATTGATCAATGACATTTTTTTTTTGTTTTGATAAATTCTGATGGACACTTGATTGTAAAATTTGTCTAAGAGGACTGTTGTGTTTCTAGTTATACCTCATTCCTAACCTCTTTCTCTCGCCCTCTCTCTCTCAAAGGGCCAGTATGGTTTATTTCTCAAACCTCTTGCTTAATTCGGTTTCTCATGGAACTGTGAACCAAATGGGCTTTTGGATTATTTTTATTTCCCATTTTTCAGTTCTATGAAATAATAACAGATGTAGGGTTGAACTTCCTCATGTTGCTGTTTCAAATGTCCTCTCTCTTGAAACACAACTGATGATACTATTGACGTTGCGTTTGGAACACCAAATTGGTGTATTTGGTGTATTGAAATTGGGGGAAACTGAGTTTAAAATTTGCACGAAATTTTCTTCAATTCTAAATTTAAGGTGCCAATTGGTGTTTTTAATAAGCTGTTGATACGGTGCGTCAACTATTGTATTGTAATTTTTCTTGCCAATTATAAGGATAAACAACTGAGATCAATACAGACAATCCTGGGCTGCCAGAGCTAGAATTTCAACAGGAATATGAATAAGAGCAATATCTTAGAGATATGACTTCTTGAAAGCTTTGCAATTGCATAGGAGACGCCCGTTGTGCCTTTGGACATAGATAACAACGTGGAGAAGTTCCGCAGCGTCAACTTGATATCATAAGATGTTGCTTAAATTTCTGAAAGCCCTAGATCAGCTCCTCACACTGCCTTGATGACATTTATTAAAATAAAATAAAAAAATTCAAACCACGCCTGATCGAACTTTTTTGTTTTTAAAGCCAATTTTGGGTAGCAAAACTCTACTTGTACTTAACTCTTCATGACTCCAATATTAAAATACGTAATTTTGAAAGTCATTTGCGTAGAATAATCCCAATAGAAAGTTGAACAAACACCTTGAGAGATCTTAATATTATATTAGATGATAATTTTTTGGTTGAAAATTTACGCTAACATTTTTTATCTAAGCAACATGTGTTAACCTTTTTGTCCTCCTAAAATCACTTGCAACATATGTTGCCTTTGGTATAAATATACATTATTATTATTTTTTAACAAGTCAAAACATAAGTTATACAATTCTTCTCAATGGGTATCGCTTTCACGTTCCGAAAGAACTCCCGTTCTCACGCTCCGCACGCTCTCGCTCAAATTCTCACTATTTGTGATTTAATTTTGTCGCTTTCACGTTTCAGCTATTGAATTTGTTTTCGTTTCTGCTCCTACTTTATATGACTTGAATCCAAACGGTAAAAACATCAAATTTGTTAGGATTTAGTGCAATTGTATTGCATCTAACTACTCACAACAGACATAAAGTTATGCATGATAACACATTAGTGGGAGATATGATTTGTCATGCTTTCATTGATGAAATAACTCATTTTAGCTTCAACAAAACGGTCTTGATAGGTTAAAATTAGATTAATAAAGTTTTAAATGGGATCTAATTATATGATCTATATATTACTTTCTAATACCATTTTAAAAAGTTTTAATTATATTTTTGTAGAAACAAAATAAAAGAAAAAGGTCAAAAATAAATAAATAACGGGCCCCTCTCCCTCTTTATAAACCCTTTATTTTCATACACAAGCAAGCTAAAACCCTAGTAGTTCTAAGCAATAGGGCATATAGTGAAATTTCTTGGAAAGTGTCATCAAATGGCGTCGATGATATTCACTGACTGTACTTCAACCACGACATCTCGGCTTCTTCCCTTTCCCGGCCAAAAATTCCGTCGCATCCGCCGATCAGTGCCCTTCCATTTGGACCGCGCAAATCCGACCTTCCTCAGAACCATCACCACCACTCACAAATTGGCAGTTTCTTCCTCCTCTCACGCCGGTAAGTGTCTTCTTCTCACTTCATTTTCTGATTACGGAAACAGATGTAGATGATAGATGTGTGTGTACATTATGTAACACACGTTTGGAATTTACATATATTGTAGCTATGTTGGACTGAAATACTATCGCCGGTTTCTCGCCGACCATACCATCGCTGGTCACTAGTCGGCAAAGCCCTAGCCGGTGAAATATCTCATCGATTGACACTTGACAGACTCCAGTCGATTTTCACTGGCAAAGATAATAGGTGTTTTTAGGGTCTGGTTATACATCGGGGATCATAACCCAAAATTTTGGACCGATTCCTGGCCGGACAGCGACATATTCTTTTCTGATACATCATATATTTTCCTTACACATTTTTACACAGACGATTACACACATATACATTCTTACATGCAATGACACCCCTGCACACACGATTACACACACACACATATATATATATATGTATATGTATGTATGTATATCTTTACAGTGCCATATTTTACTTCCTTACTGTCACTGTTACTGTTTTTGGACACATTATACATATTTTACTATTTGTTGCTTCTTTTAACTAATTTGAGATATATTGTTTGAATTTTATTTATTTATTTATTTATTATTATTTTTAAAGGCAAGAAGATTATATATTAATAGGCTCAAACGAGCACAACACATCAGATCAGAAGCCAAATATATAACCTCCACTGGAAAATCATTGGTACAAATAGAATTACTCTTGCAACGTAGAGCCATAGCACCCAGAGCATGGGCTACAAAATTTGCTTCTCTAAAAATGAACTGCAACTTGAAGTTTATTTGATCTCTTAACCACTTGATGATATTCATCACCACTGCTGCAAGATGAATGGGCAATCACTCAAGTGTTATTATCTGTTCTAACCACAATCTCTGAACCTGATTCGGAAATAACATTCTCCAATCCCCAAACTTGAGCAAGCTTAACAGCTTCTCTAACCACCAAGGCCTCTGCTACATCAACTCCCTCCACATGCTCAAAGTAACAGCACACAGCTGCAACAATTGCCCCATCATGATTACGGGCCATAACCCCAACGCCAGCAACCCTGTTATCCTCTAAATAAACAACAGCAGAATTTATTGTCACCTAACCAAGGGGACGCCGAACCCAAGAAGCCTGATATCTGCCATTAGGGAAGCAAGAGCTTCTTGAAGAAGAAAAAGAAGAATTGCCCAGATAAATCCGCAGGCTCCAAAAACTCAAAAAATTGAGTTGCGGCATTGGAAGTAATCTCCATCTCAGACCACCACTTGACATCAAATACCTACGCATTTCAGGCCTTCCAAATATACCAGCAAATACTAGCAGCTAATCCCTTCAACTCTGTCCTTTGATCTACCAAATTCTAGAAATCTATTTGATCAGTCCACTAATTGGACCGACAGGAGTGCGCCGTATTTGAACAATCCACGACTCCAAGCGAAGGAGGGATACTCTCTAAACCTTAGCTCCTTGAGGACAACTGCATAACATGTGAGACAGGGATTCCGGCTCTTACCCGCAAACTTTACAAATTAAATATTCCGTCATATTATGCTTGATTGGTTGCACAACTTTTTGAGGATAGAAACCTTTCCATGTAAACATCTCCACAAGAAATGTTTTATTGTTCGACACACTTTTAAATTCCACACCTCCTTCCATAGTTTGGATAAATAACTTCTTCAACTTGTTTCTCCACACCTACTCTGAACAATAGCAGCCTTTACATTTTTTCAGGTCAACACACAGCCTATATGCAGATTTCACAGAGAACAAACCATTATTGGAGTAAAGCCCCCCCCTTCTTTTTTTTTTTTAAGGCAAGAAGTGTTAGAAGTTAGATTAGTAGATGCAAAGAGTCGAAGCCTAGCACTCCAAGGTTCACGGGAGGCACTAAACCATTGGGCTATCGCGGCATTTGTCCTACTACCTTGGTCAATACGATCCACCACTCTATGCACAGGACTAACATCTGGTTTCCTGGTTATTATTTTTGAATTAGACTTGTCATGAATCCAATCATCTTCTCATACCCATACCTGTTTACCATTACCAATTCTCCAGACAAGACCTTCCACAAGAACCCTTCTAGCCACTAAGAAGCTTTGGCAAGCCCATGAGGGGTTAGACCCTTTCGTTGCCTCCATGAAAGTGCAATGAGTAATCAACTTTGGACTGTCAACAATTGCCCCTTAATTTTGAGGGGCTTATCAGCTTCATATAAGCCGTTGAAAATTTTAAAATCAAATGATAACCACTCTAAAACCGATAAGGCCTCTTTAGAAATCAACTAAAACCCACCCTTCAGTTGGTAAATCTTTATTTTATGCGATGGTGGAAATGACTACCATCTGTTTCCAAGAAATCCGCGTCTAGAAACTCATCAAAACATGTCCCTTTATCGAGCGTATTCCCAAGGCCAGGTGGAAGGCTTATTATATATATATGCAATTTGTTTCGGTACTATCCCTTTCCTTTCCCACTTCTTCTACCTTTGTGTTTCTCGTTCCAAACCCTTTCCTAAAACTTCACCATGGCTCCAAGAAGCAAAGCTCCCAAATCAGCTACTGATACAGCTTTGCCTACACCACTCATCAACCCAGATTGTCATGACAATCAAGCAGAAAGAACCAGCATAGCCATGCCTGTAAGCGACCTGTATCTAGGTACCATTGTTGATCTCTCTGCTAACTTCTAGGGTTTAGGTCCAGGTTTCATCAACCAGATCCCTCCACCTATCTCTGGTTTCTACCTTTCAACAAGTTCAATCTCCGGATTTGGCACACACCAACGGACACCTGGAACACATGGGTAGGCAGAGTGTCTGATGCCAAGAGTGAGACTTGGAAGGCCTGTAATATTTACGACACAATCCAGCTAAGCAAGATAACAATCACCCAGGACAAATCCCTCCTTTTCGCTGCTGTTTTCTTCTGGTCAACCACGACCAACTCACTGCAGCTTCGGTGCAGCATGATGTCCCATGCAAATCTACAATAAAGGACATTTGCTACTTGACAGGGCTAAAACCCATACCATAAACATGGGTATGGGGCATGTTTTAGTGACAAACATGCCAAACACATGCCCCATACCCATGTTTATTTGTCTTACAGTGTCCACTATGAATGCTCCTCGCATTTAGTACATTCACTGAGATGTAAGATGTGGCTTCAAAGCATCTATTTCTGCTTTGATGCAGAATTCCTTTATACTGAATTATGGATTGACAGGGCCAATTTTGTTGTATTTCATCCATATGTGGATTTAAAGTTGTTTTTTTCTGTTAAACCTTCATGTTCTTGCTTAATTTTTTCAGTTGATTTCTTGTGCAGTTGCAATGGGTACTGAGACTTCTGCAAAGGTTATTGATGGAAAAGCAGTTGCAAAACAAATCAGAGATGAAATAACTGCCGAGATATCCAGGATGAAAGATGCAATAGGTGTTGTTCCAGGATTAGCAGTTATACTAGTTGGGGATAGGAAGGATTCTGCAACATATGTACGCAACAAGAAAAAAGCTTGTCAATCCGTAGGGATTAATTCATATGAAGTGTGTTTGCCTGAGGACTCCACAGAACAAGAAGTGCTCAAATATATCTCAGACTTCAATGATGATTCCTCAGTTCATGGCATCCTTGTTCAGCTACCTCTGCCTTCTGTATGTTTCTCGGTTACCTCGACCTTCTTTTTGCTTTTATGATGAATTTTCTTTTTCTCCTTGATGATACATGCTAGATCTGAGAACTTAAACAAGCATTGTTGGATTGTTATAGTGGAGAAATTTATAGTAAAACATATTGTCACACGAAAGAGAAGGTTGTAATTATCAAAGTTTATCATTTGCTAAGCTTCATTGTGATTAAGCTAGATATAAATGTTATTGTCATTTTTTTTCTTCCAATTATTAAGATTTAATGGTTAAAGTACATGGCTTTTGAAAATAAAGTACAGATTAGATTAAGCTATATAATTTCAATATTCTTGTTGTCATCTGCCTACACAAATAATATCCTTGTGTTCAGGGGTGAAAACCAAAATTTAAGGGAAAATGAATCATATTACTAAATTATAATGCTCCATATATATTATATACATAGTTACATACATATCCATGTACATTTAAAATGCATTTCACTGTTTCCTCAAGAAGAGGAATTTTTGGAGAGGGTAAAGGGAACACTTGCCATTGGGTTACGGCACACTTCACAGTGTTCATAACGTTTCACTGGGACTTTCTCATCGACACCCTCCACTGACTCAAATTCCTTCTGTTTCAACCTCGGAGTGGTTATCGCAAATCAACAAAGGGTATTTCCTACTATGTATGCAAGACTGAAACAATAATAAAAGAAAAGAATGTTATGATACTTGGCCCACCAACTGGATGCCCTTGGTCTCTCCTTTGAGCGCTCGTTCCCTTGGGACTCAAGCACCTTCTCCACTTGGCGAACCTGCTTGCCTCCCTAAGTGAGATTTCTCCAGCAAAGAAGCTCATCCTCATGCTTATAATATATATATATATATATATATTAGTTTATAAACATTTTAAAATTTGATTACATAGTATTAGTTCCTCCCTCCTCCCTATTACCCATGCTTATGCTTATGTTGTTACTCTATGCATATAAACGTATGTGGATCTTCATAAGATTAAATTCATTGATATTCCATTATGTAAGAAACTTGTTAGTTTTGTGTAAGGTCATTCATGCACTTCATTGTTAACACCACATCTCTAGTTCATGCCAAAGAAATGATTGAATGTCAGAATGTTAATGTGGATTCATAACTATCTGTTCTCTATGAATTTATTTTTGGATATCCAGCTGAGGGTACTGTAAATTTTGTTATTATTACAATGATCCCATTACAATGGTTGATTTGTACAAAAATTGACACGCTCAGAACTGAATTGACCTGTTCAGTTTCCATGGAAGTGGAATGAACTAAAATGCCTACTTAGACTGTTTGTCAACTTGTCACTAATTGAGGATGATAGAGGGCGAGTCTGGATAGATACCTGACATTTGGCATCCCTTACAGAGTGGCTGCCCTCAATACTCAAACCCACCTCTTCCCACTTGCTAGCCTAAGCTTTTACCATTATAGCGGGCAATATGAGAAAAAATTTATGTTGTCATGGAAATACAGAAATGCACAGAATAAATTAGACAATATATTTATATGAACTTAATCACTTACTCTTTTATGTGGACATAAATTGACATGTCAGAAATGAAACAAATGCTTTGCCTTGCTGCGATTTAAATAGTCTTATCTCCATGGATTTTGTAACAGCATATGAATGAGCAGAACATCTTGAATGCTGTCAGTATTGAGAAAGATGTGGATGGATTCCACCCGCTGAACATAGGTCGTTTAGCCATGCGAGGTAGAGAACCCTTATTTGTTCCATGTACACCTAAAGGATGCATAGAGTTGTTGCATAGATATGGCATTGATATCAAGGGAAAGAGAGCTGTTGTGGTTGGCAGGAGTAACATCGTAGGAATGCCAGCTGCTCTGTTGTTGCAAGTATATTCTTTTTTTTCTTCTCTTAATTGATAACTTCAAGTATATTCTATTTATTGAAGTTCTTTTATGTATTTGTTCCCTGCTAATACCAACTTCTTGGTGTTTTATTATTGGTAGAGGGAAGATGCTACTATTAGTATTGTCCATTCCAGAACCAAGAATCCTGAGGATATCACGAGGCAAGCAGACATCATCATCTCAGCTGTAGGACAACCAAACATGGTGAGGGGTAGCTGGATAAAGCCAGGTGCAGTTATTATTGATGTTGGGATCAACCCCGTTGAGGTGAGCATACCTTTTTCCTCAGTTCAATATCTCAAAGTTCTACAAAATTCATGCTTTAGGAACTCTCTCTCAGAGAACATGTATAAATTCATACACTTGGATTTCTGCTCACCTCAATTAATATAGCTGTTTCCCTAGGACTGAGAGATGAGTTGATCATATTACGTTGATGGTTTCTTTTAGATCAATATTATAGGTTTTTTTTAGCTGGTTTTGTGTCTCCTGTGTGACAGGATGCAAATAGTCCTCGAGGCTATCGATTGGTTGGAGATGTTTGTTATGAGGAAGCCTGCAAGATTGCTTCAGCTGTTACTCCTGTTCCTGGAGGAGTGGGGCCAATGACTATTGCAATGCTTCTCTCTAATACTCTCACCTCAGCAAAGAGGGTACACAACTTCTTGTGAAATACAAGTTTCTCCTTATTTATGGAAGGGGATGATGCATTCAAATTTAGTTCAGTTGCCCAAGTGATACCTGCATGAGCTTGAGCCACCTTTTATCTACCCTTTTCCAATGAGAAGCTTGCAATGTCACTGCCCCTCCTTTTAAAAGTTATTTGTATTTATAAAAATATAATCAAGTAGAGTCTCAGCTGATACAAATAAAAGCCTTTTGATGTCACTGGCATGTGGCATTTTATCTACATGGTTTTCCAAGGCATGGGAGATCTGCAGTTGTGGTTCATGTTGTAGGCCGAGTTCCTATGAAAATGGTGGAGGGATTTCATTTCGAAACAGGAATGAAGGATGGAGGATTTTTACATGAGAATAATAAATGGTGCTTGTTAATCTTGCAATTTTGCTCTGTGTTTCAACCAAGAAAAAGGCTGGATGCAAATTTGATGCGAAGATTCTTTGTTATTAAGTGCCTTCTCATCTGTATGGAATGTAATATTTTGTACAAAAATGTCCCAGGTAGTAGTCTCACCTTTTTCACTTCCAAAAAATCAGATGACCGCGATATAGCCACCATATATGGCTTTGTTTGATCTTAAAGCATTGAAATGATTTATGGCGAAGAAGCAAATCCTCCCAAAATGATTGTAATTTTATGTCACTTTTTTTTTTTTTTGTTTTTTTTCCTAATTTTTTTTTTATTTTTTTTCCTAAGACTTAAACTCTGACCTCTCTATAAAAAAAGTAAAAAAAGTAAGCTTAGTACCGCTGAGCTATTAGCACATTGGTAATTCAATGTCACTATTACAAAATTACTTTTTGACAATTTTACGCCACCATGTATGGCTTTGTTTGATCTTAAAGTATTGAAATGATTTATGGCCAAGAAGCATATCCTCCCAAAATGATTGTAATTCAAAGTCATTGTTATTTTTTTTTTTTTTCTCAACAGACTTGAACCCTGACTTCTTTTCAAAAAGTAGGCTTGGTACCACCGAGCCATTAGTCCATTGGTAATTCAATGTCACTATTACAAAATTACGTGTTGACAATTTTACGTTTAATTTTGCAATGTTCACATTATGACTATTTCATTACAAATAACACTTGCATTTAGCAACAAAAGTTGAAGAAAATCAGTATCATAACAAAATAACAATCAAAGACGCTGCCATATAACAACCATTTAGCTTTGTTACGGTTCCCATTCTCTTATTAACTAATATCTAAGGGTTTAATCGCAAAAAGTAGCCTTTTCTAATGAAACCACAATTTCATATTTAGCGATGAAAGTCGATATAGATCTATTTTTGTCACAAATAACTATGCTAAGATTGTGCCTTTTGTTACGATTTTTTGTCATAGAAAAACATAAGCAATTATCCAAACATTCAAAACCTCAAACCAAGGAGATTCAATGGGCAGTACCGAGTATCCCCTTTGGAGTCATGCCTTTAGCCACTGTAGTATAACAAAAATCTTGAGTCAATGAAAATATCACCACACAGGTTCCCCATTCTTTACTACAAATAAAAAACCCAAATTCACTTTTGCCGGAATTCCAAGATTTTAAATATTTCGTAGAAAAATGATAGCTCTTTTAAGGTCAGTGTTTCCATGAGCAGAATAGCTGCTCCTGTAATGTAGATGAGAATGTTCTCTGTCAACAAAACTTCGACTTTGAAGCAGAGGATCAACTGATCAAGAACATAGCACAAACATGAGAAAACGACTTATCTATTCTTCCCTTTACTCGATGTGATAATCCACATTACCTTAATAGTTTGTTTGACAATGTAAATTTTGGGATTGGAAGCTTGAAAATGACATCCAATCCCTAGTGGCAGATTCCACATTGCCATATCCAACCCTGCTCGATTCCAATTACTACAATTCCTCAGCCGTGAGATCAATCCGTGCTCCAAACTGGTCTATCCCAGTTTTATTTTGCAGTTTTTCACTCCTTAGAATTGAAACCTACAAGAAATTTAAACAAACAATAATAAATAAAATATTTTAAAAAATAAAGAAAACATCATGAAATTCAATTGTGGAAAGTACAATCCTTGATCATCAAAGCAACTAAAAATAAGCCATTTTAAGACTGCTGAGCAACAAAGCACTTAATTTCAGAGCAAATCATGAAAAATCTCATGCCTTCTAAAAATGTAATGCTCATCAATATGAATCCTGAAGGTTCTTTCGGACGGCCTGTGCAAATAAAATCCCCAAATAGCATTTTAACTCAAAAAGTCTTGAATGTTTAATAGATGGAAGAAGAAAAATAGTCTCATCATTATCACCGATACCAAGTTTCCTCTTTTCCAGTCAAACAATGATATCCTAATTGTCTCACTGTAACATGCGCAAAATTAATAAAAGGACCTCATACATTTCAAATTCTAATTAAACCAAGATGGACTGCTCTACATTCTAGGAGATATCAAAAGGACAAGTAAAATCTTCTATGATTAATTAAGTCACAACTCACAACTGAGACTAGACCGAAAATTTCTTGATTTTTAAAACCTTAAATAACATTGTATAGTTCTACCACGTAGCATCATTATATGCATTCAATTTCAGGTAATGGGTTAGGTTGCATTTTTAGTCCGAGGGACAATGCAATCAATTGTAATGTTTCCCATAGAAGGTGGTCAAACTCCTTGAGCTATGGTAGAAAGCATACTAGCGACTTAACTATATTGTAACCATTGAATTGTGATGTTTCTTGCAGTAATTGAAGGTCAAATTCTACCTCTAAAATCATGGTAGAAAGCATGCTACCTAAAGTATGATGTAACTAAATTATTTTTATGGAACATTCAAGCTTCATGTATATTCAAGACTAAAAATGTTCAAAATGATAGTCCTGCCTATGTAGGATGGTGAGATGAGAAGACCAAAAACAGGTCTAGCCTTTGGCATTATTTTGCAGAGCAGTTGCTCTCAAACTCCAAACAACATCTTCATACTTGTCAACCCAAACTTTCTATCATTGAACCAAAGCAATGACGCAGGGATATACACAAAAAAATTTATGAAATCATATAATTTTGATGCCAGGGGCTTAGACTAAATCAGGAAGGAACAAATATACTGTATTTCCAGCAGTTAGTTTATTTTAAATATAAAGATAGACATCGTTCTTCATTTCGTAGAGCTTGATGAGATTAAAAAATACTTTATAAAATGAAAAAGATATCTACAATGGTAAGATTCAACAGATTCAAATACCTTGGGCCGCTCCATAGAGCTTCCAAAATAACCTATTCCAAAAGATGAAGAAGTATAGGCAGCTGCAATCTCTATAGCTTTCAGCTTTGGTGGATTTCCAGGAACCTAAATTAATAAACGTAACTTGATAATTTCAAAAAAACGGGGGCAAAAAAAAAAAAAAAAAACTAAGGTCAGGAACTAACCCCTATAGGAGCATCAGCTTGCACCAGTAAAATTCCAGCACTTCTATCAGTTCCAGTTTGACAACTTTCTTGAACAATGGAGCGTAAAACTTTCGTGCAGGCAGAGGCAGGACCTGCCTGTGATCTATACAACAAATATAATCATGTCAAATAACATACTGGCCTGTATACATAAATAAGAATTTCTGGTTTTTGCAGGTTTAGTACATACAGCTTGAATAATACAACTAAATTATTATTCAACTACTTCGTATCTGCTGGGTGTTGTGCATCTAGTTTGGAAAGTCACTTTTTAGTTCCATGTGGTGACCAGGGAAATAATAAATATACACTCCCTCCATCCCAAAATACTTGTCCATCTGTCTATTTTAGGACATCCCAAAATACATGTCTCATTCCTAAAATGGATGTACTACTTTTTATAACATTGCTAAACTACCCTTTTGACATTTACTTTATTAAACAAGTGCACTGTTTTCGGAGTACTCTTTTGTCTTTTAGAAGGATAAATTTGAAAATTCACTCTTATCAATACAATAAAAAAGTATTAAAAACTTCTCATCATAAAAGTTGGATTCCCCAAAACACCCAAGAATTTTGGGACGGAGGGAGTAATGCTTTTTAGCAGTAGAGATTTAGAGCTTTTCGTCGAAGATCAAATTTGACACTTCTGCAATTGTAGTTGCATGTAGAGGTAAACCATACACAAGGATGTTAATGGAAGGAGTAGAACTTATTCACCTTTTTTAACACCTTGGAGGAAAGAAAAAAAAAAAAAAAAAAAAAGAAACAACAACAAAGCATCTTTAAAAGCCACAGAAACATCAAACATGATATTAAATTTAAAATGAAAAAGGGAAACAAATAATTGTCAAATATCCCTCAAAAAATAGGATCCAATCACAGAAAACAAGTAAAATGAAGGTCCTGACAGAGCCTGCAATTTCAGAGGCACAAGATGCTAATGACAAGATACTCTTCAGAATCATACTACAGGTAATATCATTCTGGACTGTAGAACGTTCTGCTCCAAGCCTTCAAATATGCCAGGAATTTAGTGGCTAAAAAAGTTCTACCAATTGCAGTTTAATATCTTGGGAAGTAAAAATGATAACTTAATATTGAATCTTAATTGATTTCAAGAGAATAGAAGTTCTGAAAAAAAATATTTTGATAAGTAATAGAAGTTCTGAAAATTATGAAGCAAATGCTAATCGTACAGTGATGATGAGACACAGCACTCTCGGGCTGCAAATCCTTTCATCAGGTATTCTCCAGCACCGCTAACACAACAGCCAACAAGGAATGGGGCCCCAAAGGGACCTTTTGAGGACGCCCAACAACCTGAACCATACATTGCTGCCAGTCCCACACGCCCGCTAACCTGTTAAAAAGATTAAGTGTAAAATGAAAAACTTGGTTAAATAATCCAATACTTTGAAATCAGCACAAGTCAGATTCTTCATAAATGTTCCAGCTTTTAGAAACATGTATAACAATACCAACATAATGGCAACATTACCAAAAAAAAAAGAGCTGATAATTAACCAAAGTTAAATGCAGATAACGTAAATAAGGAGTACAAGATGTATATTAATAATTGCTAAAAGAAACCTCACAAGGAATCTCAAATTTGGGCCTTCTACAATAGAAAAAACTCAAGATTCATGTCGAAGCACGCACAGTTAAATGCTAATAAAATAATATATGGAATCAATTGATCAGTCATAAAATGACGCAAAATAAAACATTAATTAGTAAGAAAAAGATTCCAAAGAGAGCCATCTAAAGAAAAGGTAAAGCAAGGAGAAAACTACAAGGCCTATATAATTATATTAGGAGGGTACCAATATAATGTCCGTATTGGATATCGATACTTCTCAGATACTCGCGAATACTTCCTAAAGTATCCATAATCTAAAAATAATAATAAATTTTTTTATTATTTTTAACATGTATTCAATACTTTAAAGATACGTTGGCAACGGCCGTGACGTATTGATACTTCTTGGAGACTTTAGGACACATGTTTAACAAGTTTTGAACAAAAAATTATTACTTTTTCAAATATAATACCATAGAATAATTGTTAATAAAAGCTTAAAATTGCATAAATAATAAGTATTGAGATATATATATCATGGCTTATTTAATCTAAATTTATCCATGTTGGTTCTTGGCAAGAAACTCGCACACTAGTTTGTCCCTATGGAAGCTTGAACACTCACCTCACTTTGAGAAGTTCAGGAGATACCACTAGGTTCCAACCTTTGGTGTATTATAACTCTTAACCCTTCTTGTTTGTCATAATATTGTTATTGCTAGTTACTACATATATAACATGACAAATAATTAATATTTTAAATTTATACCTAGAAATATATTTTTTATATTTACTCATATATATAACAATAATATATAGAATCAATTAATCTCACCTCACGAGGTTTGGCCTAATTACCCTTGGCTTAAAGCTTTTGCAAAGTTCTTACTAGTATTACTGAAGAAGAAATAAAAAAGACTGTGATGTCTATGGAACCTGATAAGGCCCCAGGACCCTAGGGACATTAACTGGTAACAAAAGGGCTTCTCTCCCACAACCATTAACAAGGCGCTCTCATTTCAATCCTCCTAGATAACCTTCTCACTCTACTCATCTGGTTTGGATCCATCAAAATGGAGCTTGAATTTCCCTTCAGAGGTGCTTGGGCCACAGGCTGTTGAGCTTGTGGAGCCTTTCTTTTTCGTTTTTTTTTCTTTTTTTTTTTTTGATAAGTCTCATTGAGCCTTTCTGACTTGCACTTTAAGGGAAACAGATAAAAAAAATTAAAAAAAATAAAGCTAAGGCTGCAAGCTTCAAAGCCACCTTGTGCAGAAGCTAATTTGAGTAAAACTCTCAGAGGTCACAATCATGTATCTCGAATTCAGTTTCAAAGTCACGGTGAAAAGAAAAATGAATTCTCTAGGCCTATAGAAATGGAAAGGCTTTTGACAACCCTGTCAGACTAATGAACCGTTAGTCAACCCAACATTTTATGTGCATTTACTATAATTCCCTCAACTTTTCAGTAGCTAATTACTAGCTGCCCAAATAACTCCTTTACAAGCGATATGTATACACCTTATAATAGAGAGAGAAAGATACCGTGAGTGTAATAGTTCTACAGAGAGAGAATATATATACATATACAGAGAGAATGAGTTTTAGAGAGAGACAACAAGCGAATCAATTGATAGATCCATGCCTAGTGTTCTTTAGCTTTAATTTACTCATCAATGGACACACGGACACCATCTTAAGAGCTTCTGTAAAAGATCCAAGACCTAGAAGCAAAGCTCTAGTTACATTATGTATCAGGTTGACTTTTTATCTCATAAAAGATCATTATTCAGTTAGTCCCCACAAACAAATATGTGACATATAAATGATACCATCCAGCTGGAGTTTACATGATCTCAAAATAAGAACAATCAGATTTGGCTTCATAATAAGGAATGAAACAAAACCATATCCATCATTTATCAACTTGGACTTTGTCAATTGATGCTATGCAGTAAAATAGGGACTGCGAATGAGGCTTAAATGGAAGTGCTGTGCTGGAGATTACAACACATGGCTCACCTCAAATAAGAGACGCCGAAGCTAATAATTTCAGGCAATTACTAAGCGAACCAACAACACAGTGGTAGGATACACCAAACGCTCGTTTGATGTTGCCGCAGCGGCAGACGGTGGTGAGACGACCAACCACCAGTTCTCTCTCTTCTCTATCCACCATTTCCCACCTTCTCAGTTCTCTCATCACTGCCATCTTCCCTTATCTCTCCTCTCCACCCTTCACTACAACCACCATCTCCAATGAGTCTATATTATTCGGCACCTCTAACCTCCCCTTTCCATTCATGGGCACAAGCCACACAACGACCTCCACTGGTGATCCCAATTTCAAAAGGCCGAAACACAAAAAGAACTAGATCTAATACCAGAATTAAAAACCCTAACCCTATATCTTGATTAATTGAGAGAGAATATAGAGGAATTAGTTGAGTTTGATTGATGATAGAAGTGAATGGGCAAAGATTTTTTTTTTGAGTTTGATTGATAATATTAATGATGGGATTGCTATCCCTTCCAATTCAACTTGTGACCTAGTGGTGATTTTGCTGTAGAACTGGGTGTACATACCATATAATATATGCATATATATTACAATACACATAAGATGAGTTATCATGGAGGGAGAAGAAGTGGGATGGAAAGAATGAAAGGGGTCAGTGGTGGACCTAGTGGTCCCTGGTGAAGTTATCTTTGTAAGAATAATAATATCAATAGAGTCCCCTCATGACAAGAGCCATAAGCTCTCCACAACTGAATTGAGACAGTTTTTTGAGATCTGTGAAAAATCAAATGAATATTTAGTACATCTTTCAATCCATTGGTTAAATGTGCGGAGTTCATGGCTCTTGTCATGAGGAGGCTCTTGATAGCATTACATTTTTTTGTAAATATACTGCATACAAGGGTAGTTTTGACCAATAAGATGGCAGGGGTGTCCAGAGTAATTTACCTAATATATATATATAGATATTTATTGTCGTGTCCTTACCATATACAATCCTATTTTTTAATTAATTTTTGTATTGTGTCGTGCCCATATTCATATATGTGTCCATGCTTCACAAGAAAACATTACTCAAATTCTAGAGGTAAGCTTGGTTGGTATAAAAAAAATTATGGAGACAAATGTGAAATCAACTTGACATACTAGTCATGGCACATCATCTATTGACAATGCAAAATTTAATTTAATCAAGAAATAGAAAAGGTGGAGCGCCACAGGCAAAAAATAGACAGCTAAGTGAAACTAAGATAATGAAAATAACAACCTAAAAAGGGCATTGCGTCCAAAGAGATAAAGATCAAATACATTTTATATGCCCTTTCCTTGCAACAAGAACTCACAATGAATCTGTTCTTCGCAAATTATCCACTGATCTCTCGCACTTCAAAAAAAAAAAAAAAAACAGAGCCAGGGATTTTCAAGCTAAATCCCAATCTGCATAGTTGTTAAAGGCTTAAGGCGCACTAAGGCTGTCAAGGTAATAGAAGAGTGTGTGTTGGATTGGTGGAAATTGAAAATTAATAAAAGTCTATGGATAACTGAATTTGCATTTGAACTGAGTTTTGAGAATTAAGAATTCCTTTCAATATTGTTGAGTTTCATGGTAAACATTGATACAATTCATTGCATACCACTTGTCCATGTCCAAATCAAGAACCATGCACTTCATTAATTTGTGGAACGAAAGTCCTTAATTACTAAGAATGTCTCTTCTACGGTTCCACCCTTATTTACCCTTGTGTATAGCAATGGACCACTTGATTTGCACACTACCCCCATAGCTTACAATTAAATCAAGAAGCTCGTTTGGAAGCCATGCCCAGTCTCTCATCAAGGTCAGTCCTTCTAATTTGCACACATATGCAACCCCAAATAAAAGGAAGCTCACCCTTTTCCTCTTTGAACTCATTCCAACACCCTTGCCTGAACAAATCTAGAGTTTGAAATTCTAGTGCTTGAGTGGTAAAACTTAATACTTCCTGATATAGAAGTTAAATGAAGCTTGTTATGCTGGATGAATATCATAGGCCCAACGCGCGCTAAGGCGCAAAAGTTCCTTGAAGCCTTAAGCACAAAGCACAAGGTGCGTACCTCAGTGTCGTGAGGTGCACAATTGAATGATAAAATTACTATCAAATGATATCCCATGGTCATTATTCTAAAAAATAATATCAAACATGAAAAAATAAAATCCAAAAACCATATCACCCAAGCATTTGAAACCATATCATCCATGCATTAAAAAATGTAAAAGCATATCTATAAATCCATTTCCAAAACTAATACTTCACGAAACAAAAGTAATAAATATCCAAGCATGACTTTTCACTCTAAAACCAACCAATGAATATCCAATTAATCAAGCACTTGTGCAGGAAAAGCAATTCAGAACAATAACAAATCAGTTCAAATCAATTTGAAAAATCCAGAAAATTCAGAATTAATTCACAACATATCAATAGGAAACAGCAACTAAAGAGAGAAACGAAGCAATACCAGAGAGAGAGAGAGAGAGAGAGAGAGAGAGAGAAGTGTTCAATCTGTGACCCAAAAATGGCCACAAGTACATTACATTACCTTCAGCGCAATTCCACCGCTTGAGGCTCCAGATGCTATGTGACCTTTAGTGTCAATGCAAATAACTCCAACAGTGTCCATAATACAGTCCACTTCCAATGCACTAAGTGCAGATGATTGACCACCTCCTCCATTTCTCTTGGAAGGATCACATGGTTGAGCTTCTATTTCTGGAACAGATATATATTTATTAACTAATGCACAATTCTACTGAACACCTAAACTCAATTTATCCCCAATATGAACTAGGAGTAGAACAAACAACCAAAGACACTATCAGATTGTCAAAATTGAAATGGAAGGAGTTCATTTCTTTAAGATAAATGTGAAGGAATACCTGATATTGTAGCAATCTCTTGAGAACTACAAGACATATCCACATAAGAATCGTCTTTTGTAGCTTTTGCATCATCAAGCATACTTTTGTATTTGTGCCATTGTGCTGTTGCCCTTTCTGTCACCAGCCACTGTTAACAAAAAATGTGCCAAAGTAATGATTAAGGGGACAATTTTCTGACCAGATTTGTACCTTGAAATTTTACAATCATTATAGTGAAAACGAAAAGTAATTCATACGAAAAAGAAATTTAGTAAGCATAATTATGGCAGAAAAACAACAAGAGTACCTCATCAGCCTCGGCTATGCTTGCTGGTAAAATAATTCCCTTGGACTTTGCCCATGTGCATGCACCTTCACCAACCAAGAATCTGCGCAACACAAGAAATGGCCCATGGAAAAATAAAATAAAATAAGTTCAAATTCCAAAAACATGCATTGATATAACATGATTGATGAAAAACATGTGATAGCAATTAAAACCAAAGAAGTTCAGACACATGCACAAGTTAAGAGTGGGCGAGTGGCTCTATGAAATTCAACATTTTGAAACTTGTAAGTTGTAACATATTGTTTTGATATGAAACTGCGAGAGGACCCTTTTGTCATATTAAGTGAGCATTTTCATTGACCATAGCTCTCTATCTCATGTCAAAAAGAAAAAACATCTCTTTATTTTGAGCTTGCTTTAAATAGTGGTTTACTAAGTAAAGAACTCTGCATGACCAGGGAGGCAGATCTGCAAGTACAGGCCCTAACAAAATCGACGATTAACACATACAATGCATGCAATGATTAGAATAACTTTCTGAAATTCAACATTTTGAAACTTGTAAGTTATAACATATTGTTTTGAGATGAAACCGTGAGCGGCCCCTTTTGTCGTATTAAGTGAGCATTTTCTTGGACCATCGCTCTCTACCTCATGCCAAAAAGAAGAACAGATCTTTACTTTGAGCTTGCTATAAATATTGGTTTACTAAGTAAAGCACTGTGCATGACCATGATGGCAGATATGCAAGTACAGTCTCTAACAAAATCGACATTTGACACATCCAATGCATGCTATGATTAGAATAACTTTCTGCAAAAAAAATTTTGGTCGACGATGGTGGCGTCGGGCCTCTTAGAGCACCCCAAAATCCACCACTGGGCACATGCAGTCCCCCTGTACCGCATGCAGAAAGCAATTCTGAGGAAAATTCCCTGGGAGTGGCCCCAAGGGGATGAAGAAATTTGTACCAAGATACCAAATACAGAAAAAATTTTGAGAATATGCTACAATAAAGAGGTACTTTTGAGTTTTGTCCAGTAGGTTTAAAGACAAGTATGGCAGAGTAATCATACATGGGAGGTATACGACCCAACAACGAAGAACCCGTCATCTGTTCCTTGGCCAAAAGAGAAGCAATCTGGATTGCATTTCGGACACCTGGTAATTATTAACTTCACAAAGAATTGTAGGGTATAAAATGAAGATGGAAGCCAAAGGATGTCCACAGAAAAGAAAAAAAAATGATATCAAATAAACAAAATAGTTTAGAGAATGGTTTCAAAGATGAATTATATGAAATTCAGTCTTGGACTCACCTCTCACTGCGCCAACAGCCCCGAATGCTCCAGAATCGCCATCAATAATACTGGCATCACATTCCACGTGACCATCTTCTGTCAAATTTGAACCTCGGCCTGCGTTCGTGCTTGGATCATCCTTGAGAAATAAAATAAAAAAACACTCCAACTATCAAGCCATAATAGAAACAAAAACAGGATGTCTAGAGCTGAAGCAACTATATACAGCCAGCATTCGACCAGCTCTCCAACCCACCAATTCAAAGACAAAATCCAACCCACCAAAGGCAACATCAGGAAGCACCAACCCCATTTATTTTAAAATTTAAAGCAATAGCTAGCCTAAGCAGCCCACTGGGCACCAGCTCATTTTCTTTCAAACCTACAACAGCAACCACCACCAAGCCTTTTTCCCAACTACTTGGAGTCGACTCGATGAATCCTATGTTTCCATGCCACTCTATTTTCTTTCAGACCTATTCATCCAAAATCTAAAATGCTATTGATTTAATGAAAGGCAACATTACAACACCAATGTCATAGGATTAAATAGATAAACAGAGTCCATGCCATAGATGGAATAAGTACCTCCAACACTTGAATGGCAGCCGAAACAGCATCCAAGCATCCACCAGAACACTAGAAAATTCAAACAAATACATGAACAAAGGATTGTATATTCATTTACGGTCAATCCAATGATTTCTAATTCATCAGTTCATAATCTATAGAAATGTAAAAGTAAATCAAGAAACCAACTACAAACCTGGCAAATTATTAGCAATTAGCATAATAGAAATCAATCCATTATACTCTATATAGAGAGAGAAAAAGAGAGAAGCCCTAGAAATTCTAACAAGTACATGAACAAAGGAGTGTATCTTCAATTACATTCAATCCTATGATTTGTACTTCATAAGTTCATGATCTATAGAAATGTAAAAGCAAATCAAGAAACCAACTACAAACCTGGAAAATAATTAGCAAATAGCAAAATAGAAATCAATCCATTATACTATATACATATAGTGAGAGGGAGGGTGGGAGGGAGAGAGAGAGAGTAGAAAGAAGACCTTGCGGAGAACAGAAGCGGCAGCGAGGCAGGCACGTTTCATGGCAGAGCGTAGATGTTTCTCGTTGGACGGTGCGTGAAATCCAGCACCGACGTGTACGGCTACAAAGAATCTAGGGTTTTCAGAGTCTCCTTCGTTGGCCATGGAGTTTTCAGTATGAGGATTCAGCGAATACAACTGAGGAATCGGAGGACAAACAATCTATATTTTGTTTTAGGGCTCCACAGATCCAATTTTGCTGATCCCTCTTCTCTTTCCAAATGAACAACAATGCTAGTACACACTCCACTAAGGATCTGTTGCACATTTTGCTTGCATGTAAAACCCCTTTGCTTTGATTTTCAACCACCATTAACGTCTAATGTGCTTACTAATGGTTGTTTGTTTTTCGCATTGGGCTGGGCCTTGTCCCTTGTGTGTGGTTGTCTTTCAATCTTAGGGTCACTCTCCCATTAATTGGGTTGTCTGGCCAAATGGCCCACAAGTGTAATTTCTTTAATTTATATCAGTTGCTTAAAATTCCAAAAAAAAAAAACTTTTATTTTCAAAGAAAAGAGTGTGCTAAACCCACAGTATATATATATATATAACCTGGCAAGAAATATATTTATACACTTTTTGTCCAAGCTTTAAACTCTCCTTCTTCTGAATGAAAATGTTATACCATTAGACTAGATACAATATAATATTTTCAATTCAATAATATAAACAAAAAATAAAATTTTAATCCATTTTCTCTGTTTTACTTTTTAAAAAATTATAAAAGAAACAGTCACATTTAATTACTAATCTTCTTAGATGAAATGTAATTGCGTCAAGTAAAACTATTAGGAGAGTTCTTCTCTCATTTATATTGGATTGAATTAAGTACTACTAAGTTATTGAAAAAAAAATTATGAGATATGTAAAAATTAAAATAAATCATTTAATCATGAATAATAAGGCACAAAACTTTTGTTAGGCGAATCGGAGATTCTCTTGTTAGTCTTATTCTACTACTCTATTATGAATGTACTTATAGTCAAATAACTACATTGACTATTTCATAACTTACTATTTTAGGAGGTGAGGGTTCCACTCCATAATGGAGATTATGGGAGGTTTACGTGTTGTGTAAATGTTTGAAAAGCATTTTGGATTTTGATTTGATAGTTCCATGTATCGTGATAATATACAACACTACAAAGGCATTGTAGTTGGGCAAAACTATATGATTTTTTCAAATTGTTTTTATCACTAATACGAAACCATTCAATTGAATTCAAGACATATTACAAAATTGGGTTGATATTAGACGTGTCAAGCATTCTACGTCATTGATATATTCATTCAATAAAAATGTGGCTTCCTGTCAGCATTTTTACATGTAATTTTTTATTTTTATTTTTAACTAAACACAAGCTAAATATCTTACAGAAAATTTTTATTATGTGTGCAATACCAATGATGCTCAACTCTTTTGTTACATTTAGAACTTTTTACTTTCAAATCTTGTCACATTTAATTTACTACGATTCTATCTCACCTTAAAACTCAATCATTAAATAAATAAAAAGGTAAAGTGTAAAAAACCCCCCTATTATATAAAAATTGTGCCCAAAACACCTCTCTCCCTATTTAAGTATGTGATCATAACTTCTTAATATTCGAAATTTTGCACAAATTGCCCCCTTATTTAACCAATTTTTTAAATAAAAATCCTTTTAAGTTTTTTCAAAGAGATTATTTATTATTATTATTTTTTTGTCCTCAACAACTCTTACAAGTCATGATGTTGGTCAAAAGGCCCAGAAAGATATAATTGATTGAATGGCTTCATATTCTTTTATACTACATTAATGCCTATCATATTTTCTCCTTAAACGATGTGGGATACCATCAACAGCCTGTGAACCACAGGTGCCCTGCGCACTTGAAAGACTCGGCTTTTCCCAACCAAATCAAACCTGCTTTGGTCACTAAAGCTTTCAATTTATCAACCCATATTTGTATAGAGATGTTTATTTTTTAGGTGATCAAAAACCATTTGCATATCATAGTAGTCCTTGATGCATTTTCTTGTTCTTTTGAAATTCTGAATCTGCCAAGTAATGCGCACAACACGCTTCAAAATATTCAATAATTGTAAGAATATGTAAGAACAGATTGCTTCAATCAAATCCATATCGTTATTCTTATTCTACTGGCAAACAAGCACTAAACAAGCTAAACAAATATTACTAAATAGACCACAAGCCATGCTTGTGTATTTAGAGCATAAAACAGTACGAGAATTACTTAGATTTGTTGTACAAAGTATTAGTATGACATGACAATATCGTTAAAACTCACAAGCTACTTATTTTACATATGTGATATACATGCACAGAAAGCCGTATCTTCATCTGCAAGCTTTAAGTCTATAACGAATCATGTTTATCCTTCAAAAAGATGATACTTCACTACGAACGAAGAAGAGACCAGAAGGACCTCCATCCGGCAGCAATGCAAGTCTCACGGGGCTTTCAGCACCTTCTTCAACACTTAATATGCCAGTATTAAAGTTTATATCAGTTTTTACATAGCCAGGGCACACACAGTTGATGATGATATTCGGGTACTTCTTAGCCACTATCCTTGTGTAGGCATTCATGGCTGCCTTAGAGACTGTATATGCAGACATAAAAGTAGGCCAGCTTTTGGCTTCTATACAACCCTCTTTGAAATCTCTCAGAAACTCATTCAATACTTCGTCAACTTTCTCTTCTGTAAGGCTTTCGGCATCACTACTGAGCACTCCTTTTGCCCATTCATTGGGTATAAGCTGAAACAACATGATGGGAAAATAACCAAAAAAAAAAAAAATGTGTCAACTATTTCAAAGATTTCACTCGCCAATTTTCAAAGAAAAAGAACTCCATATCAACAACAAAGTTAATCAAGGGTCTATTAAATCCCTTATTTAATATAAAGAAAACCAATATTTTGGAAAATTCTACAAATTTACTGAAAGAAAATAGATGGATTGGCTCAACTTGGTCAAATTTAGAATGGAACTGAAACAAAACACGGTATCAAATTCGGTTAGACCTATTTGCATGACCAATACACAACGTACACAGCTGAACTTCAAATCAATTTGCTATCTAATATCAAATACAAAGATTGAATTCATGGAGGGTTAAATTTTTTACCTTTAACTGCCCCAGTTGGGAGGAAACATTCACAATTTTTGGTGAATCGGATAACTTGAGAAGGGGAAGAAGTGCTTCAATCATCCTTTTTGCACCATAGTAATTTATTTGTAGGCATTCTTCTGTCACCTCATAAGTCTGAGTTATTATTTCATCCCACTTGATCTGTTCTCCTTGCCGCATCAGTGGAAAAAAAAAAAAAAAAAAAAAAAAAATTCACAATTCTACAATAGGAAGGAAAATGTAGAACTGTTTGAACATATAAAACAAAGTCAAGTTTATACATCACACGAACTACAGTTTAATTAATCAAATATCTTAGCAACAACTGAACATTGCACACAAACTCAAGAAAAAGTTGAAATCAAGTGTTTCAAATTGACCAAACAATCAGTGCTTGAAAAATATCATGTTCGTTGACACAACTTTGAGGAAGAAATTTTTTAATAGACACAGAATAATCTCTTAATTTCCTATCTCATTATCATCTTATTTAAAAAAGGTAAAGGTGAAAATTATATAGCACCAGCATTAAATTCCGTAATATTATATCCTTTCAAGCTTCACTCAGGCCTCTTGTCCAACCAACAAAAGTGACATTTTCTTACTCCCCACCCAATATACATTGTTGATATATTTTTTATTTTTTTATTTTCTCTCCTTCTGGATTTATTGAGTAGTGAAACTTTCATACAAGTGCATGATCTTCAAGCAAATTGCATAATGAACTTTGGTGGCTAGTACACAGTATGCATATGTGAAGTTGCATTTAATTTCAATTTCGCGTTTTGCTCATAGGAAATAGACAGATTAAATATAATAGACTCACCTCATCACCAGCAGCCACATACGCTGTTATCGCATCACCATCTACCATGGCCCCTAAAATCCCTGCATTGTTCACCTTCACAATTTCCAACTTTTTTCAAAATTTATTTCACAAAAAATAAGAAAATGAAAGATGTAAAATAGACAAATCATTTGATTTATTAAAAAATTTGGAGGAGCAAAGGCAAAGTCACCTCAAAATCTTCAGGAATCATGAGATAATAAGGAGGAATCTTGTAATCACAATACACTATATGGCCTCAGTTCTGTCTATATACTCGAATGTGTTTCAGTAAATTGCATCAGCAAAGTTTTTTTCAAACTCATTAGTCCAATCCTAGTTATATCTACTCAATGGATCAAGAATAGAAGCTATTTAACTAAGCATCTCTGTTAAGAAAAATTGAGATTTAATCATGGAGAATAAAATAAACCAGCATAAAACAATAAATACAAGAAAAACTTTTTTGAAATTCAAAAAAAAAAAAATGACTATATTACCATTTCTAAATTCACAAAACTGTAGAATGCTTAGATTTTTATACCATATTTTCATTTTTAATAATAGAAATTGAGAGACCATAATTCTATCAAACAGGTATATCTTAAAAACAATTGTAGGTATTTCAAAAATGGACATAATGATATTAAACTGGTAATTTTTTTAAAAAAAAAAAAATTGTAGGTAAGAGTAAAGTATAGGAACTTCAAAAATTGGGTTTAATAGAAGATGAACCAAGTAATTGTTATTGAAAAAATTGAAAATGGACTTTGATACATACCAAGATATCAAGTTTTCCAAACTGGTTCTTGACAAATTCAGCGAGGGAATGAATACTAGAAGGGTCTGCCACATCAAGCTGATGAAAAACCACATGATCAGAGAGATCAGACCCTTTGAAATTCTCAAGAGCTTCAAGACCCCTCTTCTCATCTCTTGCCGTGAGCACCACCAACACTCCATTAGAAGCCAACTGTCTACATATCTCCAGTCCAATCCCTTTATTTGCCCCAGTAACGACTGCATACCTACAAAATAGTGAAAATAAATAGATTAAAGAAAAAAAAAAAAAAAATGTTGATAGGTGTTGGAGATGTAGGGTTATGAAAAATTTAAATGCTATGCATACTTAGATTGCAAATCATAGGAGAGACCAAAGTGAATTTTTAAATTTTTTTTTTTTATAAAAAATAAAGTAAGTACCTCTTTGTTGCAGTGCTGATCGCTGGTTCAGCCATTGTTGACAAGATGGGAGTTGCCAAAAGGAATTTTAGCTTCAGTACATAGTTCAATAAATCTTCCTGAGCAGAAAATTTATGTTCTATAATTTGGCATTTGGCATGTATGGACAAAACGTTGTGGTCTTCCCTATTAATCTCTCTCTATATCTTCTCTCACTGAGTTGGACTCTGGTTAGCCACTCATATTGTGTGACTTCGTGAAGCATTGTGTGCCAATTTTATATTCTCTTGAGATTAATCCTATCAAAAGTAAGGGACCCTTGGCTTGCCCCTTCCCAAAAGCATATGTTGTAATGGGTCATTTGTATATAAGGTTTTTTTGTTTTTTCCGTACAAGAATGTTATAGGTAAAGTGGTTACTTAATACGGAGACGATGCAAGGTCCGAACGCAAATTTGGAAACATAAGAAGTAACTCGACTACACAAATAATAAAACATTTATCTTAAAATATGTATAAAAATGATTTTATACATTTTTTTTTTAATACGATTGTATTTATAATATATCAAGAATAATTTATTGTTTATTAAAAATTTTCTTATAGATATTCATATAACAAAGTAGGAGTTCTCACGTAATGGCAAGAATAACAAAGAATTACAGATCCGTATCATCATAATCTTATATTCATTTCGATTCTATTATTTGGTCATCAACTTTTGTGTGATTTGTTACGTAATTATACATATTCAGTCGACCAAATAATTGAATCGGGATAAATTAATAATTTTCATTTAATAAAAGGGAATCATTTCGTCATAAAAAAATATTGCAAACACACATCTATATAATGATATATATATTAAAACTCTTTTCTTTTTTTCTTTTTTTTTTTTAAGGAAGGAAGCACATGCAAACGCTCTCATAGAGATTAGAGAAAGAACAAAATCTAAACAGATTTAAGGCATTTGTCTACTACATGAACCAACAATATCTCTCAGGTAATTAACTTCAAGTCCAAAAGAGCACAAGCACTAACAAGTAGCAGCAGCAGCAGCACCACCACCACCACCACCACCACCACCACGACCGTGACCACCACCATAACCACAACCAACCAAATTAATAACACAATGAATTACATCATTCATATCAAGTTGATCTGCAGTTTGGGCCTCGCTTATCAACTTACCATTGTAAATAAACCTTAGCTATTCATAGTCCACTGCAATAAATTTGGCGTGATATTTGCGCATCAGATAACGCAATGGCATGCTACGACTGATCGTGAACCACAAATATTTATCAGAGCTTAGCTGAAATATTAGTTTTGGTGTGAGAGTACTCAATACTTTATATTCTCTTGAAATTAATCCTATCAAAATCAATGGACCCTTGGCTTGTCCCTTCCCAAAAGCATCTCTTGTTACGTGTCACTTCCATATTCCATTGAAATTAATACTTCCAAGATTTTTTTTTTTGGGAAATCCTTGGTTGGTCCTCTCCCTAGCTGAGCTCATGTCTTCGTTTTCCTTCACAAAAAAAACTTAAATACTCCTGGTACAACTGATCACATAATATTAGATAACCATTAAACTCGGACATATAAATAAAAATACGTTTATTTTGATGGGTCATATCATTGTGTGTACGTCATTTAATTATTCTATGATGCCATATCATCACTACATGGTGAATGTTTAATTTTTTTTTTTCCCTTTCACGGAGCCTCTTGATCAGAGCCCTAGTTGGTGCTGTGTTTTGCCCTTTTCAATTTATTGCACAGTGGCAGTCATAATGGATACAGATTACTCTTGGGCTGAGCTCTCCATCTTTCTAGTGGTTGTTTTGAGAGATGGGTTTGTTTGGGCCAACAGCTTAGTTGGGCCATTTTGTTAAGAGTTTTCTCTGTTCGGCCCTCCAATGGTCTTTATATATATATATTTTTTAATAGGATCGTAATTATAATATATCAAAAATAATTTGCCATTTATTAAATTATTCCTTATAGATATTCATATAACAAAATAGTGATTTTCTTGTAATAGCAAGAATAACCAAGAATTGTGACATTCATATTATCATAATCTTATATTCATCTCGATTCTATTATTAATTTGGTCATTAACTCTCGCATAATTTATTACTTGATTTAGTAAGATGACCAAATAATGAAATCGAGACAAAATAGTAATTTTCATTTAATTAAAAGGCAACCATTTCGTGATACAAAAATATCGTGCACACACGCATTTATATAGTGATATATATATATATATATATTAAAAATCTTTTTTTTTTTAAGGAGGGAAACACATGCGCACACTCTCATTGAGATTAGAGACGGAACAAAATCTAAACAGATTTAAGGCATTTGTCTACTAAATGAAGCAACAATACCTCTCAGGTAATTTAACTTCAAGTCCAAAAGAGCACAAGCACTAACAAGCAGCAGCAGCAGCACCACCACCGCCACCACCAACCATCCTAATCAAGTAATGAATTACATCATCATCCTTCACATCAAGTTGATCTGCAGTTTGGGAACCATTTCGTCATACAAAAACATTGCACACACACATCTATATAATGATATATATATATATATTAAAACTCAAAAAAAATTTTAAGGAGGGAAACACATGCACACACACTCAATAGAGATTAGAGAAAGAACAAAATCTAAACAGATTTAAGGCATTTGTCTGCAGTTTGGGAACCATTTCGTCATACAAAAACATTGCACACACACATCTATATAATGATATATATATATTAAAACTCAAAAAAAATTTTAAGGAGGGAAACACATGCACACACTCTCAATAGAGATTAGAGAAAGAACAAAATCTAAACAGATTTAAGGCATTTGTCTACTAAGTGAAGCAACAATATCTCAAGTCTCAGGTAAATTAACTTCCATGTCCAAAAGATCGAGCACAAGCACCACCACCACCACAATCACAACCACAACCACAACTAACCATCCTAATCAACTAATGAATTACATCATCATCCTTCATATCAAGTTGATCTGCAGTTTGGGTCTGGCTTATCACGTTACCATGGTAAATAAACCTTAGGTGTTCATAGACCACTGCAACAAAGTTGGGGTATTAGCGCATCAGGGAACGCAATGGCATGCCACGACTGATCCTGAACCACACATATTCTTCAGAGGGAAGGAAATTTTTATTTTTTTCTGAAAGGTAAGAGGGAATCAAATTTGTTACCCTTAAAATGACTGGAGTTTCTCCTTCCTCCAGAGGATAAAATTACACAAGTCCCTTGAATTGCTGATCTCGCCATCAATGGCAGGCCTTTAATCGTACTTAAATACTATAAAAATGAAGCCATAGTTTGAATTTGGAAGTCACACCTACTTTGGGAACTGCAAAAGATAGTGCATGTACCAATCATTCCATTTCCATTTCCATTTCATCCCCTTCATTTTTCAATTTTTTATTTTTATTTTTCGGGCTTGACCTTTTGTTTTCGAGGATTTTTTTTTTTTTCAAGTCATATACCCATTTAACAATGCAAGATCGTAAAAGGATAAAAAAAAAATTAAAAAATTCTCTCATAAAAGAACGAGAGATTATAAAGAGAATTTTTTAGGTGGTTGTGATCCATTAATACACACTTATGGGGTCATTTTTTTTTTTTTTCAATGTGAGAGTCTAAATCTAATTGGTTCATCAAGTGTCAATGGACCAAGTGCATGTGAATTGATTGAGCATGCCAATGACTATGGTATGTCCAGCACACCCTATATCCATTCCGTGAACACCATTAATTAGTTTGAAATGGGATTTTTTATTTTCCATTGAATGAGAGTGGGCACACTAAGGGTTCATTTGGATAAACATGATACAATATATATATATATATATATATGGATAGCATTAATTATTTATGAGAAAAGAGAAGAGATGGAAAATATTGATAACAATAATCTTTATTCATGTTTTGATAAATTATGAAGAAAATGAAAGCATTATTTGAAAGGTATAAAAAAAATAATTAAAAATAATAATAATCAAATTACTATCACGGTAAACAGGACTCAAATAATTTTTTTTTTTTTTTTTTTGTTAAAGGTAGTTCGGGACATTAACAGAAGATTCATTCTCCTCCCTAAAAGTTGAAAAAATAAATAAAGTAGCAGTTAGGATCTAATTTATGTTAATACATTTTAAGCATATCACAGAACATATCTTCCCAACTACAAAATCAACTCAGTTGAGAATAAATTGTAAGAATTAATGTCTTCAAAGATGAAGTCTATAAAAGGAAGGTCATGTCCAAAGCTCGGAGACAAGCCCTCATGAAGTTCTTGATGTCAGGCTTGCCAAACTATGCGGTGCAATGTTTTAAAATTTCAAAATCTATAAGCAACAAATTGAGAAGCCAAATGCTAGACTTTTGGAGTAAATTATGCAAACCAAAGGAAGTGGATGGTTTAGGCTTTAAATATATTGATGCTTTCAACTTTTCCCTGTTACTAAACTGACCACAAGCCACTACTGGTTGTGGCAAGTCCAAAATCCAACAGTACAAGTGCATGCTTGTGAGCTTGCAGCATATATAAAAGAGTAAAGAGAATGAAATAGATTTGTAATACAAAGCATAAATGTAACCTGAGATGGTTAAAAGTCACAAGCTACTTATTTTTGAAGTTTGATGATATACATGCACAGAAAGCCATATCTCTTCATCAATCAGCATATTATTATATATCACGAATCCATGTTATCCTTCAAAAGTATCAACTTCATTACGAAAAAAGAAGAGACCAGAAGGACCTCCATCCGGCAGCAAAGCCAGTCTCACGGCGCTTTGGGCACCTTCTTCAACACTTAATACGCCGGTGTTAAAGTTTATATCAGTTTTCACATAGCCTGGGCACACACAGTTGATGATGATATTTGGGTACTTCTTAGCCACAATCCTTGTGTAAGCATTCATGGCTGCTTTAGAGACTATATATGCAGACACAGAAGGAGGCCAACTTTTGGCTTCTATACAACCCTCTTTGAAATCTTTTAGAAACTTATTCAATACTTCATCAACCCTCTCTTCCGTAAGGCTTTCGCTGTCACTGAACACTCCTTTTGCCCATTCGTTTGGTATATTCTGAAACAACATGATAGAAAATAACCGAAAAAAAAAAAGGATCAACTATTTCAAAGACTTCACTAGATTTTAAAAGAAAAAGAACTCCATATCAACACGAAATTAAGTAGATCTAATAAGAGGTCTATTAAATCCCTTGTGTAATAGTAGTATAAAGAAAACCAATACTTCGTCAATAATAATTGAATAATTTGCATAAGTAAAGGGAAATATTTTCATGGAGTAATTAAGTTTTTGTGGGAAACCATTTTTCAACAAATTAACTGGACAACTATTTACACAGTCGTTCCGTAAACTGATGTAGTATCTGTTTTATCATAATGAAATTTTCTTTTACAGGAAAATGCAAGCCCCTCATCCAACACCATTGTTGATTTCCTTTCCTGACATAATTCATTTCGTAAGACAAACATCTCGAACCAAGCCAAGGTAAAGTGCAAGCCACTGCCCGAATAGGTGATTGGTTGTTTATTGTTTGGAAAACCTTACAAATTACTGAACTTGGTCAAATTTAGAATGTATATGAAACAAAACTTGGTTGCTAAAAATTTGGTTAGACATAATCTTATGACCAATACACAACACAACTGAACTTCAAACCAATTTGCTAGCTAATATCGGACTTGATAAAGTTGCTTATGAGGATGCAAAGATTGATTTCATGGAGGGTAAAAAAAAAAATTACCTTTAACTTCCCCATGGAGGAAGAAACATTCACAATTCTTGGCGAATCAGACAAGTGGATAAGGGGAAGAAATGCTTTAATCATCCTTTTTGCACCATAGTAATTTATTTGCAGGCATTCTTCTGTCACCTCATAAGTCTGGGTCATTATTTTATCCCATTTGATCTGTGCCATTTTCTGCATCAGTGGGGCAAAAAAAAAAAAAAAAATTAACAATTCTACAGTAGGAAGGAAAATGTATATCTGTTATCCCTCTCCCCCTCCACAAAACAAATATAATAATTAAAAACATTGAACATATAAAATACATTGAATTTTATAAATACATCATGCGAACTACATTTTAATTAATCAAATATATTAGCAACAACTGAACATTGCACAAACTCATGAGAAGTCGAAACGAAAGTGCTTCAAATTCGACCAAACAATCTGCTCATGAAAAAGATTATGTTGGTTTTCTAACACAACTTGGAGAAAGAAAGAATTTAATGGACACCAGAATAATCTCTTATTGCATTTCTCTTTTATCATCTTATTCAAGAAAGGTAAAGGTGAAAATAATATAGCACCATAATTAAATTCCACAATATTATGCCTTTTCGCCACTTCCCACCCGCAAATTTTTTTTTTTTTTTTTCATTCTGGATTCATTGAGAAGTAAAGCTTAAATACAAGTGAATGATCTTCAAGCAAATTGCATGGTAAACTTTGGTGTCTGATGTCTCTGAAGTTGCATTTAATTTCAGTTTGGCCTTTTGGTGGCAGTAAATAGACAGATTGAATATAATGGACTCACCTCCTCAAGAGCACCATCACCAGCCACTGCAGCTCTTAACGCATCACCGTCTACTTTGGCACCAGTAATCCCTGCATTGTTCACCTTTACAATTTCCAACTTTTCTCAATATTTATTTAACAAAACATTATGTGAAATAGACAATTCATTAAATTCTTTTATAAATTTAGAGTCTGTCTACGCCTCAATAAGCGAAGGCAAAGGCAAAGTCATCTCAAAATCTTCAAGAATCTTCAAGACAATGAGGAGATATCTTTTAGTCACAATACATTATATGGCCTCAGTTCTGTCAACATACTCAAATGTGTTTCAATAAATTGCTATCAGAAAAGTTTTTTTTTCAAACTGACTAATCCAATCGTAGTTATATCTATTCAATGGATCGAGTATAGAAGCCATTTAACTAATAAATATCACTATTAAGAAAAATTGAGATTTGATCATGCAGAGTAAAATAAACCAGCATAAAACAATAAATTATTTTATTGAAATCCAAAAACAAAAATAACACTATAAGCATATGAATATCATTTCTAAATTCACAAAACAATAGAATGCTTAAATTTTTATCCCATATTTTCATTTATAAGAATAGAAATTGAGAGAAAATCTTGTAGTACATAATTCTATAAAACAGGCAAATTTAAAAAAGAACTCTAGGTAAGACTGTAAGAGTAAAGCATGAGTGTTTAAAAAATGGACATAATTATATCAAACTGGTAAAAAAAAAAAATGGTAGGTAGGAGTAAATCATGGGTATTTAAAAAACTGGGGTTTAATAGAAGATGAACTAAGTTATTGAAACAACTGAGAATGGGTTTTGATTCATACCAAGATATCAAGTTTTCCAAACTGGTTCTTGACAAATTCAGCAAGGGAATGAATACTAGAAGGGTCTGCCACATCAAGCTGATGAAAAACCACAAGATCAGAGAGATCAGACCCTATGAAAGTCTCAAGAGCTTCAAGACCCCTCTTCTCATCTCTTGCTGTGAGCACCACCAATACTCCATTAGAAGCCAACTGTCTACATATCTCCAGTCCAATCCCTTTATTTGCCCCAGTAACAACTGCATACCTACAAAATAGTGAAAAAAAAAAAAATGTTGATATGTGTTGGAGATGTAGAGTTATGGAAAATTTAAATGCTATGCATACTTTTAAAAAAAAAAAAAAAAAAAAAAATTATAAAAAAAAGGAAGTACTTCTTTGTTGCAGTGCTGATCATTGGTTCAGCCATTATTGACAAGCTGGGAGTTGGCGAAGGGAATTTTAGCTTCAGTACAGAGTTCAATAAATCTTGGTCTTCTGAATTGTCAACCCATCATCCTCGGCAGATGTTCAATAATTTGGCATTTGTCATGTATGGACAAAACGTTGTGGGTCATCCCTATTAATCTCTCTATATTTCCTCTCACCGAGTTGGACTCAGTTTAATTTGACATGTTTGTTATCTAGTATATATCTTGAATCTTCCCAAAAAAACATAAAATAAAAAAATCTATCTTCTTTTCTTTATTTTCCATGATAGTACAGAGGTAGGTGTAGATTAGGAGTAGGTATATGGTGGGCTTGGTCGTATCGTACCTTGGCTTATCCCCTACACAAAGGCTACAAAGCATCTCTTGTTATGCACCACTTGTTTATTTTCTTGAAATTAACGAGTTCGGAGGTACCTATAAAACATTTAAACCTCTTCATTTCTCTTGATAATTGGAATTAACCATGTACCATTAATAGGAATATTAAACTCTCTGCACTCTTTTAAAAAATTACTTTCTCCTTTTCACAATTTTTAATGTGAACAATTATTTTGAAAGGGAGGGAATAAAAACTTGACTTTTTTTTCTCTCTGAAACTATGTTGAGTTGAAAGAAAGGATGAATGAGGAGGTATAAAAAAAATAATTAAAGGAAAAATGAAGTAATTCTAAGTCATATAAAGTGAGAGTGAGAGTAAATTCAAGAATAAAAACACGAAAACAATAAAATTAAAATATAAATAATGAGAATTTAAATAAAAGCGTAGATAAAACGTGATAATAAAAATGTACTCATAATATAAAAGCGGCACTGAAAAAAAAATTAAGTGACTTAGTGTAGCGTTGTGTGCCAATTGTATACTCTCTTGAAATTAATCATATCAAAAGTAAGGGACCCTTGGCTTGTCCCTTCCCAAAAGCATATGTTGTAATGCGTCACTTGTATATTCCCTTCAGATTAGTACTTTCAAGATTAAGCAACCTTGGCTGGTCCCCTCCCTAAAGCATTTATTTTATTATAATATATATATATATATATATATATATATATATATATTTTGGGCTTTGCCATTAGTTTAAAAAATCAATTCTTATTTGTGATTTGTTTAGGAATTAATTATCATTTATAAATTGTCTAAGTATAGAAACTTACCATCACATAACTTCTTTTACTTTTTATTCTACTGACAAATTACGTGATTTATTGACCACGTGTTTGTTTACTTATATATCCTCTTAGGCTTAATTGTTATTATTATTATTTTTTTTCCGTGCTCACCTGATGGGTTGTATTGTAATTATTTGATTTTTGAGTCATATTTTACTGTTAAATAAAATCTATAAGTGAAAAATATTTTATTTTTTTTTGTTCTTGTACTATTATGTTCATTTTTTTATATAATATTTTTCACTTTAAATTAATATAAAAAATTTCACATTCAGGAAAAAAAAATATAGAGTAAATAATCAGATTTGTTGTATTGGTGTTGTTATTATATTTATGTAAAGTTTCTAATTGGAACAAAAAAATTTAGGATTGATAAAAATTGAAGTGTAAATTTAAATTTTATAGATTTTATTTAACAGTAAAATATGATCCAAAAATCAAAAAATACAATACAACCCATCAGGTGAAAAAAAAAAAAAAAAAAAAAAGGAGGAAGAAGAAGAAAACAACAACAACAACAATTAAGCCAAGAGAATTTGTGGCTAATAAATCTCGTGACTTGCCAGTAGAATAAAAAGGAAAAGAAGTTATGTGGTGATAGGTTTCTACACCTAGACAAGTCACAAATGATAACTGATTCCTAGACAAATCACAAATGAGAATTGATTCCTAAACTAATAGGACAGACGACTTTAAAGCCACAGTCATTTATGGTGACTGGGCGACTGTGGTTAGCAAATCACAAGAGAATTTGTGGCTAATAAATCTCGTGACTTGCCAGTAGAATAAAAAGGAAAAGAAGTTATGTGGTGATAGGTTTCTACACCTAGACAAGTCACAAATGATAACTGATTCCTAGACAAATCACAAATGAGAACTGATTCCTAAACTAATAGGACAGACAACTTTAAAGCCACAGTCATCTAGGTGACTGGGCGACTGTGGTTAGCAAAGTCCATATTTTTTTTATGTGCTCTGCACAAGAATGGTATGGTCAAGTGGTTAATTGATAAAGAGGAGGTCGGTGTAAAGTGGACTCTCAAACATAGAAAGTACCCCACCACACAAATAATATAGCATTTGCCTTAAAATATGTATAAAAATGACTTTATATAATTTTTTTTTTTTAATACGACCATGTTTGTAATATATCAAAAATAATATATTGTTTATTAAGTTTTTCCTTATAGATATTCATATAACAAAATAGTAGTTTTCATGTAATGGCAAGAGTAACAAATAATTGCACATCCGTATCATCATAATCTTATATTCATCTCGATTATATCATTTGGTCATCAACCCCTGCGTGATTTGTTACGTCATTATACATATTTAGATGATCAAATAATCAAATTGAGATAAAATAGTGATTTTCATTTAATAAAAAGGGCACCATTTTGGCATACAAAAACATTGCAAACACACATATATATAATGATATATTTATTAAAAGTTTTTTTTCTTTTTTTTTTAAGGAGTGAAGCACATGCAAACACTCTCATAGAGATTAGAGAAAAAACAAAATCTAAACAGATTTAAGGCATTTGTCTACTAAATGAAGCAACAATATCTCTCAGGTAAATAACTTCAAGTCCAAAAGAGCTAGCACAAGCACTAACAAGCAGCACCAGCAGCACAAGTCCCTCGAAATATTTTACCCTTAAAATGAATGGAGTTTCTCCTTCCTCGAGAGTAAAAAATACACAAGTCCTTGAATTGCTGATCGCTCCATCAATTTACCTATTCCCTTTGCTTGTAAATCGTATTCTACTCTTATTTATATATAAAAATGAAGCCATAGATGGAACTTGGAAGTCACACTTCCTTTGGGAACTGCAAAAGATAGTGCATGTATCAATCCTTCCATTTCCATTACCATTTCATGCCCCTTCAGTTTTCATTTTTTTTTCCTATTGTTTTGGGCTTGACCTTTTGTTTTGATATGAAATTTGTTTTTCTTTTTTTCTTTTTTTTTTTTTGTTTTTTTTTTTAGCACCTTGATAATAAGAAATAACAATTCACTTAGCTGAAATATTATTAGAAACCCTTGGCTTGTCCGAGCCTTAAAGCATCCCTTGTGTGCCTGTTTTATGTTCTCTTGAAATTAATCCTATCAAAATCAGCTGACCCTTGGCTTGTCCCTTCCCAAAAGCATCTCTTGTTATGTGTCACTTTCATATTCCATTGAAATTAATTCCAAGATTTTTTTTTTTTTTCAAGATTAATGAAACCCCTGGTTGGTCCTCTCCTTAACTGAGCTCATGTCTTAGTCTTTCTTTACGAGAAAAACTTAAACACTCCCGGTACAATTGATCATATAATATTAGGCACATTAAACACGGACATATAAATAAAAATACATCTATTTTGATGGGTCGTATCATTTAGTGTACACAATTTAATTAGTTACTAATATCATATCATCACTACATCGTGAGCATTTATTATTATTATTATTTTTCCTTCCAGGGAGCCTCCTGATCAGAGCCCTAGTTGGTGCTCTGTTTTCCCCTCGTTTCAATTTATTGCACAGTGGCATTTTGAATGGACACAGATTACTCTTGGGCTGAGCTCTCCATCTTTTTAGGTGGTTGTATTGAGAGATGGGTTTGTTTGGGCCAAAAGCTTAGTTGGGCCATTTTGTTCTCTTTTTCTCTGTTCGGCCCTCCAATGGTCTTTATAACAAAAAATTGGATAAAAATTCTCTCCGGCGAGGAGAAGTTTAGCACAGAATTCAGTGATTAAAATTGAATTAATAAATGAAACCATTAGTAGTGATGCAATTTCAAAGGATCTTGTCCCAAAAAATTGCAGCATCCCTCCCGTAACGGCATGATCTCAAAAGTTTGTGTTCGATTATTTTGGGACGCTCGTTCGATTATTTTGGGACGTTCCCCAACTTAATCTTAAGTGATAGTTTAATGGCAAAGACTTGGGACGTAAAAAGACATCATATATTAACTAATGACCACTCTGAAATATTAAAATAAAAAGTTTTGCCAGACAACTCTGATTGGTACAAAATTAATGTTTGCATGTATCATCGACAAAATATATACATATATATTTATTTATATATAAGTAGGCATCACTTAGGTAATTAAGTACTTCAAGCACAAAAGAGCACAACCACTAGTTAGCGCCACCAACACCACCACCACCACCACCACCACCACCAGTAGACAAGTCAGTCCAGGCATCGATGACATCATCATCTTCCATGTGAAGTTGAAGTGCAGTTTGGGTCTCTTTGATCTTCTTACCATCGTAAGTAAACCTAACCTGTTCATGCACCAGTCCCACATGGCGTAGCCACATAAGGACAAGTGGGGGTAGCTGCCCCCACTGAATTTTTAATTTTATATGAATTTTTTTTTTATATTTTTATAATTGTCCCCACTAAAAATTGACATTGCACATATATATACTATATATATAACCAAATGACCATTCATGGTAAATAAAAAAAAATAAAAAAAATAAAATAAAATAAGGGGAATATAATCTTTCCAAAAAATATGATATTTTGTTTTCCACTTTCTCAAAATATTATATTCTTTCCCACTTTCCTCAAAAAGATGTATTTGAAAACAAGAAAAACTCACCGTTGTTTATAATATATAAGTTTGTAGACCTCCTGATTACTCATCTATAACATACTTCAGAAAGAAAAAATTATCCCCAACTTTTTTCAACACATTCATCTTTATGCATCAAAATCAAATTGAATAAGAATTTATATACTTCAACATAACTTCTATAGATAATAAGCAATATAACAAAATATATTTTATAATACATGGTTAAAAAAATTAATTAATTACATACCTATATAATATCTTCTCAGTAGGTAGATCAAACTGATTAAAAAGGTTCCATTTGATGTCAGTTTGTT